GTTGTGTGCTGATATCCCATTGCGTTTACTTGTGGGCATGTGGTTCCTGGCTCTTCCAGGCTTTCCACTAGGCGTGCCCTAGCTTCCGCTTCTGCCATGGATGCTGGGGTGTGCAAGTTGAAGTCCTTCCTGTAACGGACGTCGACACCCTGCAAGAACTTGGAATATATAGCGTTTTCAACCTCTGAATATGTCTTGTCCTGCATAGCTTGACGCGCAAGCTTGCGGAGACATGAGATGAACTGGTTGATAGATTCACCTTGTCTCTGGTTGCACTCGCTGAATCTTTTCAGCGCTTCAATGTGAGGTATTGGTGGCACTACACGTGCTCTTAGAGTACTCAGCAGGGTGGTCAAGGGCATATGCACGTAATCCAAACCAATTGTGTACATTTCCAAGGACCGTCCAACAGAATCGATGACGAATGCGTTCGGGTGAGGCACGTTCATCAGATCAATGTATCGGCACACCTTGTCTGACCACAGCTCGAAATCACCACCCACCTCCAGTGTATGCGGCAAGGGATGGACATATCGCGAAGCAGGCTGATTTGACTGAAAAGTTTGAGCCCTCACTTCAGCTAATTGATCCACCTCGTTGGATGCTGTCTGATTGACAGGCGAAGTGTTCTTGGAAGCCTCATTGGGTCGAGACTTAGAAGAAGAAAGTATTTCCATTGGCAGTCTCGACCCAATGAGGCTTCCAAGAACACTTCGCCTGTCAATCAGACAGCATCCAACAAGGTGGATCAATTAGCTGAAGTGAGGGCTCAAACTTTTCAGTCAAATCAGCCTGCTTCGCGATATGTCCATCCCTTGCCGCATACACTGGAGGTGGGTGGTGATTTCGAGCTGTGGTCAGACAAGGTGTGCCGATACATTGATCTGATGAACGTGCCTCACCCGAACGCATTCGTCATCGATTCTGTTGGACGGTCCTTGGAAATGTACACAATTGGTTTGGATTACGTGCGTATGCCCTTGACCACCCTGCTGAGTACTCTAAGAGCACGTATAGTGCCACCAATACCTCACATTGAAGCGCTGAAAAGATTCAGCGAGTGCAACCAGAGACAAGGTGAATCTATCAACCAGTTCACCTCACGTCTCCGCAAGCTTGCGCGTCAAGCTATGCAGGACCAGACGTATTCAGAGGTTGAAAACGCTATATATTCCAAGTTCTTGCAGGGTGTCGACGTCCGTTACAGGAAGGACTTCAACTTGCACACCCCAGCATCCATGGCAGAAGCGGAAGCTAGGGCACGCCTAGTGGAAAGCCTGGAAGAGCCAGGAACCACATGCCCACAAGTAAACGCAATGGGATATCAGCACACAACAACAAAGCATGCACAGGATCCCACACCACCGTGGAAAGGACGCCCACAGTCGCAATCCACTTCAAGAAACGATTGCTACTACTGCAGGCGATTTGGTAAGCTTGCTAGGAGTTGTGGTCACAATGCAGGTGAGTCACATGTCGATATGAATTGTGTGCCTACTGTAAACCTAATCGGTGTCACCTCCTCCCCGAAAGTAGACGAGCATAGTTTGAACATTAGAAAACCGCCAAACTTACCATGCCTTACACTTGGTTCAACCCCCTCTTTCTCCCTCGCACTCTTCGTCTTCTTCCTTCGTTAGTTGTGGCTGTTGCTCTTTGTGTGTTACAAATTGGTGTTGGAGGTGAGATCTGCATACAACATGGCAAATCTCTCTGAGGACGCCTTCGCCCGTGCAGACGCTACTGCTTTCAGCAACAACAACATGCTGGGCTCTCAGCAAGCCCTGTTCAAACTGATTGCCTGTCGGCAACTGCCAAGAGAAAGTTTCCTGGACTACTTTCACGCCCTCCAGAGTCTGGCACCTCGACCCATCAGCAAAGATCTCCTAGTTTGCAAACGTTTTGTTGAAGGATTGCTGCCCGGGGACCTTCGCACAAATCTTCTACGCGAGCTCCCAACCAGCACCTCTGAGTTACGGGGGATTATTCTCCGTTTCATGGACGCCGAGAGCAACTGCGCGTCCACACCCAGCAACTCTCAATGCCTATCGCCAACAGCGCCCACTGCAGCTGCCTTGACACCCGTTCGCCATGACCGTTCAAGAACCCGACGGAGCTCGAATAGAGACGTTACCAGTAGCTGTTACTATTGTCAACGATACGGGAAGAAGGCCCGTAAATGTGGTCACAATCGCCAGCCGGACCGCAGTAAGTCCCCCTGTTTTAATTTATCTACATACTCTTGTAATCGGCAACCTTTGAGGTTATGGGGAAATATTAATGGAGTGCCATCCAGAGTACTCTTAGACACCAGTGCGTCGGTCTCTCTCGTAAAGACTTCCTTCCTTCGATGCTTGCCCCAGTACTCACCCCCAGTAACCACTCACAATGTCATGACGACGGCTAACGGTGCTAAACTGGAAGCTCGATCTGCTACAGACCTACAATTGCCCTTTGGAGACCTAAATGTGCGCCATCAGTTTCTTATCTGTGCCCAGATTATATGGGACCTCATCCTAGGTGTAGACTTACTGACGGCACACCACACCCTTATAGATATCGCCCATTCACGAGTCACAATTGATTCAGTCTCTATACGCCTATATAGCTCTAAAGAACCGACGTCTTCTGCGTTAAATTAATCAGTGTCCGCTATCCTTAATCAAATTTCGGTTGATCCGTCCTCTCCTGCTCCCCAATGAAGGCGATTGCGGGAATTAATTGATGAATATTGCCGATGTGTTTGATGATGGAGGTAATCCTGGTTGCACTGGTGTTTTTCAGCACCGTATTGACACGGACAGCCATCCGCCTGTACTCCAACCACCCTAACGGATCCCTGTATATTATCAGCCTCAGCTGGACGCCCTGATACAAGATGTGTTGGACAAAATGATTGTACCGTCATCCTTCCCACGGGCGTCACCCATCGTCTTAGTCAAGAAGAAGGACGGCTCCCTTCTAATGTGTAATGACTACGGCAAACTGAATGCCGTAATTAGACAGGACGCTTTCCGTATTCCACGCATCGATTCAACTCATGAAGCACTTACTGGTTCACAATAGTTCTCCACGTAAGATCTGGCGTCAGGCTACTGGCAAGTAGAAGTGCACCTGGACGATTGTCCGAAGACTGCCTTTATCCTTCCGAGTGGTCTCTATGAATTCCGAACGATGCCCTTCGGACTATGCAATGTCCCCGCCACATTTCAACGCTTGATGCAGATAGTCCTTGACAAGTCAGTTCCGCACAAGTGTATCATCTATCTTGATGACATTACTGTACATGGGAGGTCCCCAGGGGATCACATGGATAAGCTACGGGTTGTCCTCACAAGGTTAAGAATGAATGACTTAAAGTTGAAGCCGTCTGAATGTTCACTTTTACAGAGGGCAGTCACATTTTTGGGTCACCGAATTTCACCAGATGGTATCCAAACAGATCTAGAGAAAGTGTGTCTTATCTCTGAGTGGCCTTCACCCCAGTCCTGTAAAGACGTTCGTAGCTTTCTAGGGTTGGCTTCATACTACCGACGTTCTGTTCCCGAGTTTGCCACCCTATCCTCGCCTCTGCATCGCCTGACAACAAAGGGCCGTAAATTCCTATGGACCAACGTATGCCAACATGCGTTTGACGAGCTAAAGAAGGACTTGATATCAACCCCTATCCTCGCGTTTCCGGACGTGTCCCCGTCATCTGGTTCTTTTATGCTGGACACGGATGCAAGCTTTACCGCCATAGGTGCTATCCTTTCCCAAGTGGCAACTGATGGTCGAGAACGCGTTATTGCACATGCCAGTCGCAAGCTGGACAAACGGGAAACACGGTATTCGACGACCCGTAAGGGAAATGCTTATCCTTGTGTATTTCCTCAAACACGACATTATCTACTTGAGCGCCCCTTTCGAGTACGGACTGGCCATCGTGCACTACAATGGCTTCAAACATTCCATGAACCAGAAAGTCAGGTGGCTCGCTGGCAAGGACGGTTACAGAAGTTTGAGTTTACCTGTGAGTATCATCCTGGGCTCGGTTACACTTAATTAAGCACACGTCAACTAACTCGGGAATAATGCCATGGGGATTCAAATTGGCAGCTCCTACTTAATGTTTGCCTGACCACAGGGACTTGAACCGTATATTCTGACAGTGATTTTCAGTTTTTGATGGTAATTGTTACATAGGTGTAATGAATGTTCAACGGCACAATAAATGTCATGAAGAGGGACTTATTCGTAGGACTTTCATCTATGAACGTACCTAAAAATACTATCACATTTATTATGTTATTTTCTACTCTGCTCAAAGGTGGTGAAAGCCGGTTGCGAACTCACCTACGATGTTAAGCTCGCCTACTGCATCAATTTCGTTCTCTGTAATGTGGATGTATTAACACCTTACTTGAGAAATGCTAGTAGGACTGGAGAATCCGCGTGGCTTGACAAGTTTATCCACTAACTGATGACTGTGATGAAAACAGAGCCGAGTTTCAGTCTACTCTGTTGACCTTAGGGTTCACATTGAGGAGGCATTGAAATTAGCATCGGAGCGAAATTCTGAGTCATAATATATATATATATATATATATATATATATATATATATATATATATATATATATTGTATGTGTGTGTTGTGACTGTATCTTTCTTTCTTTTAACTCAGATGAGCCCGGGTTTGTCAGTAATTCTAGTGAACACACCAAATGAGTCAGTATTTGTCAAGTTCCTGTCATGGAAGTACACATATAAACCATTCTCGCTCAGTCCGTTCATCCCGATAAATATCTGTTTCGTGACGAAATATCTTGCATGTATTTTTAGGAAACTGTAGACTTGAACCTGTGTGAATTGTTTCACCCTTAAAAATCCTCTCAAAAGAAGTAAACTGTGGAGTGTAATGAGTTATTCAATTGGTTATCAGTGAGCCAGGTGTTTGCTTTTGTTCATCACTCACTCCATTTACGCACAGTTATTCGGATTGTGATTTATCTGTTATTTATGGTAAGTCCTATTCAAAGTAATCTTGAAAAATATAACCATTTTCCGAGTGTTGGTTAGCAGAGACTTGATTGGTTATAGGTTTCGTCATAAGTTGACACCAAGTTAGGGAGCTATTGGAAGACTAGCAGGGAACACGACTACTGTTTCGTCCTGGTTTGGGGCCGCTGAACAGTACGTACTCGCCGCCAGGTTTCAAGCCCAGGACCTTCCTGTTACAAGGCGAGCTCGTAGACCGTTCTCAGCCATTGAGACACTATCCAGTGGTCAGCCCATGAAATCTAGCTTCTATTATTCGTGCAACTGCCAGCCAGCGTCATAGGAGACTAACTGATCTCTTACGTGACTTGGTAGATCTCGCTGATTCCTTCCCCACAAAGTACTCTTAAGTAGTAGGGATTCATGAATAAGTTAACTATTATTCGATTGTTTAAAATCATAGTTTTGCCAAAATTAGAGAGGGCAATGTCGTAAACCCTGTGTCCTCTGTAACTCATTTTACACGATGAAATTGCACTTTTCACCGCAGAGAAAGCAGTTCTTATCCTCTATTCCTCATTTTCTAACGACTAGGGGTATTTATTAAGGCGGGATTATCTTATAATGGTTTCGACAGCGTAGATTACATATCAGTAAACTAGTCCTCTAATGAAGACGGGTACTTGTCGATATTATTGTTAGCAAATTTTGTGTGTATAATTTTCATTGCATAACACCCACCTTTCCTAATGTCCCTGCAGTTGTGGAACGATTGAAAACTATTAGCTCAGAACTGTTCTTTTGGCAATAACTCACAGACCCTATCAGGTTAATAATGTGCTTGTTGACCTATTTTTGTCTGTACGATGTTGTTTATTGGGCACTAAAATTTTGTATTTCTTGTGATGTGGCTATTCAAAAGTGGGTTTTCAAGGCGTGGATGCAATGCAGAAGTTTTCAACTGACATAAGGAAGAAATAATTGTATCTCTTCAGCCCTAAGCTAACAATATATGGTTAGTAATCATTTTTCTTAATAACGGAACCTTCGTGCTTTTACTATCGAAACAGACATGGTCTGATGTTCAGAGATTTTGACTAGAATTCTAGCTTTACTTGGTTGCTTTTGATTATTACTGAGTCGAAATAAATTTTAATCACCAAGCTATCTATGCATAGTGCAGCAGTTCAATCTGCTAGGCTTCGTTAGGATAGAGAGAAAAGGAAGTGCACAAACAGTTAGTGTATCTGTGCTATGGAGAACGATTTTGAGTCATATCACCGCTGATTATTCGGGTTTGAAAGACCTTAGTCAAGCAGTCCACACCTTCTTTGGTGGCTGGTTGAAACCAAAAGTCAAAGACTAGATTAATGCCATGCTTTGGTTTGATTTTCCCTAACTCATTTTCAATAGAATCCTATGCCATTTAATATTGCTCGACAACGAAGGCGATGGCTTGGCATGCGTAACATGTGTCCTTCCCATGTCAATCGGTACAGCTTGACAACGCGTTCGATTGATTTTCCCTCCTTAATCTAATACTACGCTTAACTCATTACTGACCGTATTATATCACTTAACACGAGAGATATAACTCAGACATCTGTGATCAAATGTAACTAGCTTCTTCATATCTTCGAATTTCCACAGGCATGTTTCACAATTGTAAGGGAGGACTTAGGGAACTGCTGGTCAGTACACCCTTAATGAAATGTATATCATGATAACTGATGACTGTGATGAAAACAGAGCCGAGTTTCAGCCTACTCTGTTGACCTTAAGGTTTACATTGCGGAGGCATTGAAATTAGCATCGGAGCGAAATTCTGAGTCATTGTATGTACATATATATATTCTGCGTGTGTGTTGTGTTGTAGCTTGTTTCGTGTCTTATGATGGTGTTTTTCTTTCCTTTTACTTAGATGGGCGGAGAGTTTTCTTGAGTTGAAGGAAGTAGTTCAGCGTAGCTGTGGCGTGCGATTGCAGATTCAATATATTCCGGGAGAACTATGAAATGTTATTAGAGGATAATTTGGGACTTCTGCTAATTATTTTCATTCTTTCAATACGATCTTCAGGTGTTGTGTTCATTACGTGCAGCTTACCTATTTTCGGATGGAGTCTGCCTCCCTCTAATCACGTTGGAAAAGGGCTAGTGGTGGTCGAACCAAAATATATCATTAGTCAATGAGATCAGCAGTTAGTTTAAGCCTCATAAGAAGATATAGACATCCTGGTTGGGATCCTCGGGACGGTAAAAACAAATGGTTGGAAACAATTGGTGACATGGCTCAAAATCGTTCTCAGTGGCGCAGATGCATCCACTCCTTGTGACTTATAATACCTAATAAAACTATATTGTCCTTCGATATTACTATTCCTTTTGCCTCATATCTCTGTTTACCGTCTCTATTTTGCGTTTCTTTTTAATTTCTACTCTTGCTTTGTGTGCTGAGTCAAGTGTGGCGACTCGAACTGCTGCACACTGATGCGAAGTGTTCTATGTTGAAACCAAACAGACAGATAAGGTCTCATGTAATATTTCCCCCCACCGCCACTAATTTGTTTGTACTTTTCACTCTTAAAATAAACATTGATTTGCGCAATATTGTTTTTATTTTATTCGTATAGATTAGTTCTCCAATTTGTGTGTTTTTTGCTTAACGTTAGTTTCGCCAGGTTAATCGTTGGAAAACATTGTTTAAGGGTTCGCGGCGGTCTACTCATCAAACAGATACGAAAAAACCATACTTTCTTACATGTCCAATATTTTACGTCAATGCAAGTAAGTCAGTCAGTATTTGATAAGTAGTGTTGGCGAGAGTGAGTTTTCAATTTCACTAACACATTCTTTAAGATGAAGCGCAAAGAAAAGGCTTAGGTCTATATAGGCATCGTGTAGTTAAGCAGTTATTCGTTCTGTTGAACAAGTTCTTTTATAAGGTGGAGGCAGTTCAATTCACTTATGATGAATTAGAATGTCGGGAAGGGCAGCTTCCAATGTTAGATTGTAGTGTAAAAAGGAAAGAAGATGGGAAGTTAAAACACTAGTGTTCACAGAAAACCCGCACATTCAAACAGGTATTTGGACTTCCGATCATCCCATCCTATGTCAGTAAAAATAGGATAGGTGAAGTGTTTAAGTGACCAAAGGGGACAAAAACTAACTAGTGCCAAGGAAAATCTAAGACAGGAAGTGAGGCGCATAAGAGAAGCTTTGAAACTTATTAATTACCCTGATAAATTAGTCAAGAAATATATAGGAAAATTTAACAATAAAATAAATAATCGTAGTAGTGATATTAATAATAATAACTGTAATAATAAAAATAGTATTAATGACGACATGCATGTCAGATATGCGCAAGACAACAACAATAAGGAATCTAAATCATCAGTAGTAATTCCATACAAGGAAGGAACCTCGAAAACCACGTTATGCAGAATTCTTAACAAGGCAGGAATAAAAGAGATTCAAACCACCTATAAACTCATTTGGAAACAAGCTTTGTCAGTTAAAGGATCAATCAGCCAATTAAACAAAACAATTTAATTTAACTAATACCCTGCTAGAATGGTTGTTTTTGTCAGGTCAAGTGCATACGTCAAAGTTGTAGAACGGGGTTAGTCAGTCAGACTAGCGGAGCACAGAAACCTAGCAGCAAAATCTAGATTGGTTGACCCGAATAAGATAAGGAATCTGGAGAATATTTACTTCATCTATAGCACTACACTACATGCAGATACAACTATACAATAGGATCGTGAGATAGGATGACAGTTTTAAAATCTAGTGTGACAAGGTGAATGGAGGGAGAGATTGATAACAGAAGCTTTGTTTATCGAATCAACTGAAGAGAGTTCGTGTACTAGGAATGATTCAACACCTGTCCCAGATATCTGGAAGATTCTACTACCCCAACGACGACAAATAGGGGAGAACAAAGGAAGCTATAAAACTCTGAATTTTCGCGTTGAGTCAAACAGTCGCCTAATTTAAGTACGCAGAGTAAAGCAGTAGTTGGGCGTGTAGACCTCGTCACTTGAGAAGCTGCATCAACGCCCCCCCATAGACTTGCTCCGATTATTTAGAATATGCGGATGAAGATGCTGACAAATATAGAGCACAGTCTTTTGAACACCTTGAGCAGGGAGTAATCTTCGAATGTTTGGCATGTGATTCGCTCCTGCTGTCAAATGTAAGATGATGAGGCTGCAGGACTGGACTACATTGACCCACTCCCGACTTAAAGACAGGCTGGAGTGAAGAGGTTGGTGGAGTGTGTTGACCACTTCACTTATTTATGAGGGGGGGAGTTGCATCAGCCAATGCCGGCGGGTTGATCTTATTGCTGACGAAATCTCAGCACGGTTACAGAAGGCTCGTTAGGTATGTGCCAACTTACTCCATCTCTGGCTTAGTAGACGTGATATCCGGCTGGCTGTCGACGAAAGGACGTATGTGCTGCTCAGTAGTCCAGTCGGTCCTTCTTTGTAGCTGTGAGTGAGATATAGCCACAGAGTGGAAGACATGAAAAGGCCGGCTAGCTGGCTGTCTTTGATCGTAGGTGCCTGCGTTCTATCTCCCATATGTGTTAGGTGGTATAATAAGGTGATTTGGAAGGGAAATCAATCGACGAGGTTGTGAAGCAGGTAAATCGATTGAGAGAGATGGTTCGGACATATGTTACCCATGTCTAGCCTAGCCATCGGTTGCCTTCCTCGACAACGAACAGTATTATCTGACATAGGTTGGATCAGGTTGGGAAATAGCTAGCACTTGGTGGTCAAACGAAAACATGGCTTCATCAGTCAATGAAATCCACTACAGTAAGTATAAGCTAGACGCTATTGAATGCATTTACAATCGTGCCACCGTCGGTTTTTGAGTCATTACCTAACTTCTAATAGTCATTCTTGGTTACCTTAACAGTTATGATGATCTATTTTCCTGTGTTCTCCAGGATCAGCTCTGAGCTGACATTTAAATCCACTTTGCGTAGTTAGCACATGTGTGTGATGCGCTTTCCCAACCATGTTTCAGTAAACCTTTTTAAAGCTTCGTGAAGTGACCACCTATCCAGTACCTTCAGTGCAACATAGCGGTGTCAGTTGTTTGGTAGTTAAGATAAAATGGGTTGAAATTATCAGAACCTCATAACATCTAAACGTTTAGCTAAATGATGTAGTGAAGTTGACTGCTATCATCTCAAGGAATAAATACGTTGCGATTTGGAAATTAGTCATCATAGGTGTTTGATTATTTAAGTGGGTGCTAACTTCACTGAGAGTTTTAGGACAATATTCTGGTGTGTTACCGGTAGATAAGTAACTGAAAATTAGTTGTTAGGTCAGTTGGGTTATGTCTTAGATTATTATTATATTACTGTTTCCTTTAATTCCTAGAGGAACATAAGGCTTCAGCCGCGCGTCTCCATTGCATTCGGTTCTTCGGCAACGTTTTCACCCCGTTCCAAGTCTGGCCACATGTTGTCATCTCCTCTTCACATGACCTCCTCCAAGTCACCCTTGGACGACCAACTCGATACTTCCCTTTCGGGTTCCACTCGAGCGATGGTCTGGAGTGTGATGTCACTTGCTGGTTTCTTCAGAGTATGACCAATCCATCTCCATTTCTTCCTGACTATTTGTTTCGCAATCTGTTCCTGCTGGGTTGGTTCTCTCCCACAGATGCCTGTTGCTGGTCTTTTTTCTGGCCATCTGATCTTGAGTATTGAGCGAAGACAGCTGTTAATGAAGGTCTGTAGTTTATTTGAGATGCTCTTTATGATGCGCTGGTCAAGTCTCTGATGCGTATAGTAGCACTGACTGACTTCACATTGGAGTTGAAAGTGTGGATCTTATTTTTGATGCTGAGTGCTGTTGACCTCCACACAGACTTGGTGAGAGTAATGAAAGCTTGCCTTGCTTTCCTGATCCTCACTGCTTTGATGATATCCTCGTCAGTTCCGTCCGCCTGTAGTTGAAACGATGCTTTCCAGGTAGGTATAGAAAGTTGTTTTTTTCAGGTTCCTCCCATGTCTTAGGGAGTAGTGTCAATTACTGCTGTCAGCTGTTATCAGAGTAGGTTAATGATGTGTGTATTCTGAAGGTGGTTCCAGCAGATACTGCTTTCCAGTCCTTTGTCTTCTAATGCACTATGAATCTCTACTCCTTGTGATTTCACCATGTACTACTGCTACTAGCAGTACTGTTTTTGCCACTTGTTTTTCATGTTGCTCAACACTTGATCGAGTTCGCATTTGTCCGCTAGTTATTGAGAGATCCTCTGTTAATATGACGTCTAACACGAAGACCAACGGTTATTTCAACCACTAAATATCTAGCCAATTTACTCTGTCGTAAAAAACTTCTCAACTGGTTCCTTCTCCAGACACTTATCTGTTTTTAACTCCTTCCTTACCCTATAAGACGTCCTCAATTCGCAATTTTTCTGCAACTATTGGGTTTTCCACATTTATTCTGCAAAGGAAACGACATTTTTTATAAGGTGATACTGTGGTTCATTCATTTAGGGGTTGTGGAATTTCATGCCTACAACTATTAATCCTAGTAGAACGTATGTGACTATTAAAATTATCAAAGCAGGGTGCCTCATCAGACCAGTAGTTAGCTTCTCATATGCTGGTTTACGCCGTCTCTGGCGTAAACGTGATATCCGGCTATTGACCAAAAGGCGGGTGTACTGCTCATCAGTCCGCTCTGTCCTCCTCCTTTATGGCTGTGAGACATGGCCATTGAGAGTGGAAGACATGAAAAGGCTGACTAGGTGTCTTTGATCATAGGTGCCTGCGTTCTGTCCCCCGTGTGAAATGGTATAATAGGGTGAACCGTATTGCAGTAAGGCTTCGGTCGAGTGTTAGGTAAGCAGGGGAAATCAGTCGACGAGGTTGTGAAGTTACATGGATTGACTGAGATGGTTAGGACATGTGTTACGTATGCCTAGCCATCGATCGCCTTCGTCGACGGGCAATATTAGCAGATATAGGGCCAGACTGGAAAAGAGCTAGCGGCGGTCAAACCAAAGCATGGCACCAGTCAATAAAATCCACAACAGTTAGTTTAAACCAGCCATGCAGGAAGGTGTAGACTTCCTGGCTGGTTGGGGTCCTCGGGACGGTAAACACCAACGGCTGGAGAAATTTGATGATATGGTTGAAAATCGTTCTCGATGATGGCGTAGATGCATCCACTCCGGGTGACTTATAATACCCAATAAAACTATATTGTTCTTCGTTTCTACTATTCCTTTTGTTTCATATCCCCGTCTACTGTCTCTGTTTTGCATTTCTTCTCTTGCTTTGTGTGCTACAAGAAGGGAATGGGGTAACTTGAACTGCTGCACACCAGTGCAAAGTTCTATGTCGAAAACAGACCAGTAGTTGAACATCCCGACTTACGAGTTATCTAAATATTAAGCATTAGTGTTATGCCGCATTAGAGATAGGTCAAATTCTAGGCTAACCAATTCCTGTATAATGAAACAGAAACTAGAGGAAATTCAGTGTGAGAAAAATATGAAAAAAAAGGTTAATTATGACATAACCAGCTTGTTTGTATACTAATATTCGCATTAGTACAGCTCTGGAAGTAATTAAGAATGAGCGGAACATTGATCCTGAACTCAGAAGTAGGACTAAGCTCTTCTCTCAGTTGATGAAATAATATTAGATGATCAGTTATGTCTAATCCCCACTGTATTCAAATTTCAAAATAAACTATATAAACAAGCAAACGGAGTGGCAATGAGGTCACCAATATCCCCAATAGTAGAAGACATTTATGGATAGTTGGGAATATAAGGCTCTTGGAAAGTTTAATCCTGCTGCTCCTAGGTTATGATGAAGGCATGTGTGGATGACGGATTCCATCAGTGTGTTGAAATGTGAACATATCCCTCAGTTTTTCACACGTATAAACTCAATAGTAGACAAAACCCAATTCACTTCTGAGTTAGAAAATGAACATGGTGAGTTGGCTATGCTGAACTGTAGAATAAGACGAAAATAAGATGGTGGATGGTTAGATACTTGCTGGCATTTATAGGAAACACACTCTAATAAATACTGAGACTTTAATTCATCTCATCCAGAATCGGTGGTAAAGGTAGGGGTTTAGTTAAATGTCTGTATAATCGGGCCAATATCCTAACCAGTAAGCCAGAAAATTTTAATAACGAAATCAAACAAATAAAGAAAATATATATCGGTAGTGAGTAACCACATTATTATTATTGTTCCCTTGGGTTCCTAATGGAACATAAGGCTTCAACTGCACGTCTCCACTTGCCTCTGTCTTCTGCTGTACTTTTCACATGCATCCATGTTAGTTAGTTCATACTGTTTCAACTCCTTCCTCTTCACACGATCTCCTCCATGTCACCCTTGCACTGACGTCCCACTCGCCGCTTGCTTCCCTTTCGGGTTCCACTCGAGCGATGGCCTGACGCGTGATGTCACCCAGCGGCCTCCTCAGTGAGTGTCCAATCCATTCCCACTTTCTCCTGCATATTTGTTGGTTGGCGATTGGTTCTTGTTTTGTTTGTTCCCATAGTTTCTTGTTGGTGATATTTTTCCGGCCCGGTCATCTGATCTTCAGTATAGATCCAGCGAAGACAGTTGTTGGTTGATAAAGGTCTGCAATAGCCTGTTGGTTGGAAATATTCTTTGTGACCCACCCGCCAAGTTTCTGATACGTATAGAAGAACTGACTGACTTGACGTGTTTGTATTGAAAATCCTACCGAATTTTGTTGTTGATGCTGAGTTGAGTGACGAAGATTTCCAGATTGGTTTCAGGTTGATGAGTGAATGTGTTTCTCGCCTTCCCGATTCTCACTCGATTTGACATCCTCGTCCGTTTCGACTGCGTGTAGTTGAGACAATGCACCCTAGTAACCACATACCAGAATTTATTCAGAAATATATGAAGAACCGTGGAGAAACTAAGATTATCAATAAAATTGACGGAAATAATACAGAATTCAAAGCCTGCATAGTAGTACTGCCGTGTAAACGAACGTGGGAAGCGCTGGAATTAGCCGGTGTGACATTTAAACCATCCAACTCTTTTACAGATAAACATTTTTGACCTAAGGACTTGACAGATCCAATGAAGAAATATGAAATAATTTATCAAATATCATGTAATACTGACTGTTAGTCGGATCAATTGCATAGGCCAGTGAAACTATAGTAGATCGGGGTCGACTAGGATATGTGTGAAACTTGAGCACTGTGGTAGTAAGTAATTCCATATTTAGTTTGTTTATTGGATATATCACACACAGGGTGAAACAGTAATATTTACCGGATGACAAACTTTCGAACAAAATTTATTACCGTTCATAATCATGCTCCAATATGGATACTGTTTTATTTTGATAAATTACAGTGTTGTACAGTAATATTAACTGATGACCGAGTTTCGAGCACAAACTATTACCACTCATAATCATATCAAGTCAGTCACTCACACTTTTTCCTTCATTTATATACATGAGTGGAATTGATGATTATACATTTGAATAAAAATCAACTAATATAGGATTATGTACATTCAGAAATAATAATATGAGTGTTATCAATCAACCAAATACAATCAGATGGGAAATAATAAGACGAGTGTTTTTATAGTTGAAATAAGTAGCTTGTTAGAATGTTGTGATGTGCTTAAATTGAAATATAATTTTAAGATTATTTATTATCCTCCTCTGATTTGACTGACTGGTGATAATAATATCTTCCATGCATATCTCTGGTATTTGCATTGAGTCATTTCTGTTGCATGTCTTGTGTTGGATGTAGACTTTATTAACTGGGATTCAGTAGTCAATCTCTGTCGCTCTCCACCTCAATAGATTACTTCTTAGAATTTTCTCTCTCTCCAACCCTATTGTGTGGTTGTGTGTTAATGCGTGAAGTGCAATAGCTGAGCTTTTTTCTAAATTACTTATCTTCTCGGGGTCAACCATTCTTACCTTAGCTAAATTCTTATGCTCTGGCAATCTGACTACCCCCGACCTACTAGTGTGACCTATGTAGTTGACTTAACTCACAGTCATTTCAGTGTATTTTGTAAATTATATTATTTTGTTTTAATTGGGTCCACCGGGTCTTTTAGCCTACAGAGCTTGTCCTACCTGAGTGAGTTTGTAGGTTTTAATGCCGCCACCCTAATTCCTGCTTTATTAAGAATCCTACCAAATAGGGCCTCAGATGTCCCCTCTTTATATGGTATAAGTATAGATGCCTCATATTCTTTCTCATGTATGTCATCATTACTAGTTTTACAATTATTTTTATTTTGTTTTTGGCCTTTACAGGTCTTCCTAATGAATTTCATAGGATAGTTATTCAACACCAACCAGCTATTCTTCTATCTGTTTTATTTCATCATTTAGGTCTTTTTTTGTGCATGCTTAGTGCAATGGCTCAGGGGAGGATAATAAATAATCGCAAAATTCTATTTCAATTCAAACACATCATACAACATTCTAACAAGTTATTTATTTATTTTGACTATAAAAACACTGATTGTATTTGGTTGATCAATAACACTCATATTATTATTATTTCTGAATGTACATTATGTCATATTGATTTTTATTTCAATATCTAATCTATCCCACACATGTATATAAATGAGGAAAAAAAGTTGTATGATTGAATGCCTTGATATGATTAATGAGTGGCAATAATTTGTGCTCGAAACTTCGTCATCAGTAAATATTACTGTATATTACACTGTGTGATTTATTAAGGTGAAAGTCTTATCTATAATGAAGTTATGCTCTACCACCACAGTGCCCAGGTTTTATACTTATATATCATTCAATCCCACTTTATGTAACCTTTGTTGCTTGTTTTTATACCATTTTGTTTTCGCTTTACCTCTTTTTTTTCTCTCTCTCTCTCTTCTTTTCAACGCAAAGAACCTCACTTAGGTCATGCCTACACGATGTGTTTAGTTGATTCTTGGGCAAGATATAGTGTTCTCCGGCAACAGTCAATAATATGCAAACCTTTCCGCCAATTAGATTCTCTTCAATTCACCGCTAATTTGAATCATTCGAAGGGGAATAAAACATTTTTGTCGTGTGGAACTGATGAACATGGATCAAAAGTAAGTCCTTTTTTGTAAATGAAAGAAGGGAACATGAAGTTCAGTAAAGATAACTACCTTTTCAGTGATTTCATTTTCAAAAGCACCTGTACAATCGCATTTATACACATGATTTTACATGGATACAGTTCTTGTTTGATTCCACATAAATAAAAGGCGACAATTATTTTCAACATAGATATACTTTACGAGAGGTGTTAGAAACAAAATTACACACAGGATTAGAACGGATAACAAGTGTGTAAAAAGATGAGCATGGAAATAAAATTGAAATAATAATTTTCCACTTGAGATGGGAGTTGGGAGGAATGAATACGGATTACAAGAGCCTTAGAAACACTAAAATTGCACAGGATTAAGATATAATCGTAATTCAAGTGTTGGTTTGTAGGGATTTGATTGGTTTCAAGATTTCATCATGAGCTGACATTAGTTAGAGAACCATTGGAAAACCATCTGGGAGTACTGGACAGCTGTTTCGTCAGCCTACTATGGGACTCTTCAGCAGTACGCGCCCACTGGGCTTCGAACCCAGGACCTTCCGGTTACAAGGCGAGCTGGCTCGTATACCATTAAGCCACTGGGACCCGATCCAATGGTCCTTGAATTCTAACTTCTGCCAATTCACGACATAGCGCGACCGCTAGCCAATGTCTTCGCTGGCGAGTGTTTGTCCTCACACCCGACCAGCTGCACCCTACTGGTCACGACTTCCCACTGGAACCCAGTTAACTACCTACCTGAATAGGGCCAGTCGCCAGTGAGCATCTTATTGGTATTCATGTGATGGTTTGTAGGGATTTGATTGGTTTCAGGATTTCATCATGAGCTGACATTGTAAAATGAATTATAAATGTGAGCAGGCAAAGCATGGAAACAATCTTAAAATAACTGTTTTTATAACTGAAAAAAATGAGGTGAATCGAATGAAGATAGAGGCAGTAAGAATCACACACACACACACAGCGAACGAAAAAAGATCAAAAAAAGAACGAAAGAAGAAAAAAATGGAAGCTAAAGGAACATACCGAACTAGGTCCATGGTAGTTGTAGAGGTTGGACTAATTTCTTTTGAACACACACAGCTCCGGCTTCTCGATGCATATTGCGAGGACTTCTGCAGTAGAGAGAATTCGGAAATATACTACTTTTGGTAGGTTTCTGTTGACTTTGTAAATTACTTTGAAAGAATCAGCTGAGATGTTATGGGAGGTGTTGATCAGATGTTCGATAATGGCGCTTTTGATTCAACCGGTGCCTCCTCTTTGCAGCCACGCTGGGTAGTGTTCTCTAACACGTTTTGAAAGGACGCGCATACAACGACCTGTGTACCTAGCTCCTCACGAGCAGGTGAACTGGTTTATGCACATTGAATTGGTCATATGCGAGAGTTTGTCTTTCGCGTTGTTTCGAAGTATTGGACGGCTAGAGAATGTCACTTTTAGTGTTCCTGCAGCGAAGGTCTTTAAAGATCTAGATATTCTCCTCTTCAAGATATCGACTCATTTTCTATACGCCGGTGATTCGTTGTAACCCTGGGTAATTTTTGTTTCTAAGGGTCTTTTAATCAATATTCGCACCTCTCAACTCCCATCTCAAGTGGAAAATTATTATTTCAATTTTGTTTCTATGCTCATTTTCTATACATTTGTAATCCATTCTAATCCTGTGTGTAATTTTGTTTCTAAGCCTCTCGTAAACCATATCTAGTTGCAAGTGAAAAGCAAGAAGCCGGCAGAAGAAGCATCAAAGATAGGACTTCACTTCAGGTGAACATAGAGAAAACAGAGGTGATGAAGATTCCTGGCCAACACCAACAGCAACAACAACAACAGACAACAATCAGCATAAATGGGAGGAACCTGAAAGAAACAACCTTTACCTACCTAGGAAGCATCGTTTCAACTACAGGCGGAACTGACGAGGATATCAAAGCCAGAATCGGAAGAGCAAGACAAGCGTTCATTACTCTCAAGTCTGTGTGGAGGTCAACAGCCCCACTCAGCATCAAAAATAAGATCCGGATTTTCAACTCCAATGTGAAGTCAGTGCTATTCACTATACGGATCAGAGACTTGGCCAGCGCGTCATAAAGAGCATCTCAAACAAACTACATACCTTCATTAACAGCTGTCTTCGCTCAATACTCAAGATCAGATGGCCGGCCAGAAAAGATCAGCAATAGGGATCTCTGGCAATGAGCGAACCAACCCAGCAGGAACCGATTATGGAACAAATAGGCTGGAAGAAATGGAGATGGATTGGCTGGCCATACTCTGAGGAAACCATCAAGTGAGTGACATCACTAGATAAGCCATTGCTCGAGTGGAACCCGAAAGGGAAGTGGCGAATTAGTTGGTCGTCAGTTGGAGGGCGACTTGGAGGAGGTCATGTGAAGAGGCGATGAAAGCATGTGGGGAGACTTGGAGCGGGATGAAAAAGTTGGCAGAGAACGGAAGGCAATGGAGACGTGAGTGGCTGAAGCCCTATGTTCCTCTAGGAATTAAAAGATATAATAATCAATAATAATAATAATTCACTGTCGTAGTTATGTGGAATCAAACAAGAATTGCATCTTTGTAAAATAATGTGTATAAATGCGATTGTACAGGTGCTTTTGAAAATGAAATCGTCGAAAAGATATTTTTTTAATGGTTTGCAGGAATTTTTTTACAATTAGTTTTTTTTCTTCAGTTTCTGCGTTATTCGAACCAAGAAAATATATTTACTGTCAATGTAAGACATAAGACGCAAGTAATTCCATACACATTTTAGCCCCCATTTATGAATTTGAATAAAGCAAGAACAACAGCACTAACAGTGATTTGTGCAGAATAGGAAGATGGTGCCATCATTTGTTTATTTCATTGCCTTCTCATCAGCTGTGTTTGTAACGACAGCAGGCAAGTGTCAGGCAACAGATTGTTTATTGAGAAAATCAACAGATATTTATAGATTTTTATGTACATCATTATTACCATTATTGTTAGCAGACAAGCAATGCCTTCTGATTGGTTGTTTACTTGCTGAGGGTTATTCTGTACTGTTTGTGACCGGCCGTTTCTTAGAAAGTTAAGCCAATATCTCTGCAAATCGTATTTGCACACGTTAATTCTGCTGTAATTGGTTGTTGAGTTCCTCAAGGTTAAGTTTTGTTATTGCTCTAATTCAGGACGTGAGCATTGACATAAACTGCTGTCTACAATTTTGGCTTGTTCACAGCCAGCTCTCACCACATGTATACAGCCCAAAGACATTATTAAGTTTATGCACAGAAACAGTTTCAACATACTTACCCACACATAGTTCATTTTTAAACAAAAATCAATCAATGTATGCATACAATGGTAATAATCATATTAATAATCACTTTATAATAATCATACAAAAGTACGGATTCTGGCGTTATTTAATCCAATGAAAGAGAAGATGTAATAAACATCCAGTTACCAGGGGGACAAGGAAAGACTGATAATCCGCTGCTCTCTGAGTTGCAGACATTTGACAGAAGCTGCTCTTTTGTCTGTTGATAATTTTGTAGGATCTTGTGATGTCCACTTCATGATCTTCGTATCAAGGAGATGCTTGGCAATGGGACTGTTACAAGTATGTGTCCCCTTGAGACGTAGACGTTTTAGTACATGTTTACAAAACCGGAGGTATACCTTTGTTCTTTCCGTTCTTCAAATGTAACCGCTCCCGTAGATATATTTAAATTTGTATAGATTGTTGGAGTTAACATGGAAAAGGGTATTTGTCAACCTTTGTTTGATTGCACACCAAAAAGCTCGTTGTCCGATAGACAGGGATCAACTTAGCTGAAGGATAGGCTCTGGCTAGTGATGTACCCAATCTTCTATTGATTATTCCTGCAAGTAAATTTAAGACTTAATAAACAAGTATGGGTTGAGTTGTATGACTCACTGACTGACTTTTCAACGCAGAACGTCGCACAGAAGTGCAGTCGATTAAGTCACCACACTTCGTGAAAACACACATAAAAGTAGAGAACAGATTTAATATACGTGTAAAACTTGGGAAGTGTGGCAGCATGTAATTCTATATTATTTGTTTGTTAGATATATCACACAAACAGTGAGACAGTATTATTATTTACTGGATGACGAAGTTTTTTTTTTATTACAGCTTGATTCCACTAACTGTATTTTTGGTACATGTATGAAATTTTCAGCATGGATATCGGTAGCCCAAATTTTGCAGGCCGGCCATAGATATCAGGTGTGCGTCGGCAGGGGATCGAATCTCAGACCATGTGCATGGTCGACGAGAGTCCTAACCACTGTGCCACCGACGCATAATTTACTTATTGCTCATAATCATATCGTCAATTATAACCACACAATTTCGAAACTTTCGTTTTAATAGCCTTCTTTATTCTTTCCTATTTGTTGTCGTAGAGGTAGTAGAATTTTGCAGATGTTCAGATAGGTGGACAGGTGTTAAATCATTCCGATAAATAAAGCTTCTGCCATCACTCTCTCCCTCCACCCTTTCACATAATGAAAACATCAACACTAGGAAATTTAAATCATCAGTAATACTTCCTCGGAAACCTTGCAGAGAATTCTTAACAATGCAGTCAAGAATAAGAATGGGTGACATTCAAACTGCCCACAAACTCATTTAGAAATAAGCTTTGTTGGTTAACAGATCAATCGTATGGAGCCAATTAATCAAGACAATTTAGTTTATCCAATATCCTACTTTGTGACGTCAAATACATAGGTCAGAGTGGTAGGGCGGGGTCAGTCCGTCAGACTAGTGGAGCACAGAAACTTAGCAGCGAAATCTAGATTAGTTGACTCGAATAAGATAAGAAATTTGGGGAATAGTTAGTTCAGCGACAGCGTTCATCACTACCATGCAGTTACACATAACCAGTCATGCAGTAGAATGGGATGGGATAAGGTGACAGTTATAAAATCTGACGTGACAGGTTGAAGGAAGAGATTGATAGCTGAAGCTTTATTTATCGAATCAACTGCAAACATGTGTAGATGGAATGATTCAACACCTGTCCACCCAGATATTTAGGCAATTCTACTACCCCTACGACGACTAATAAGGAAGGAATATGCAGACGATATAGTCCTTCTAGGCGAAGACGCTGACAAAATGCAGAGTCTTCTAAACACCTTGAACAGCAATCTACGAATGTTTGGCATGCGATTCGCTCCCGCCAAATGCAAGATGATGTTACAGGACTGGACTACATCGACGCCTAGTTCAAAAATAGGAAGTGAAGTGGTAGAGCACGTTGACCGCTTCACTTATTTGGGAAGTACCACCAGCCCCAACGGGCTGATCTCTGACGAAATCTCAGCACGAATACAAGGGGCTCGTTTCGCATTTGTTAGTTTACGCCGACTCTGGCGTAGACGAGATGTTCGACTATCGACCAAAGGGCGGGTGTACTGCTCATCAGTCCGCTCCGTCCTCCTTTATGGTTGTGAGACCTGGCCACCGAGAGTGGAAGACATGAAAAGACTAGCTGTCTTTGATCATAGGTGCCTGCGTTCTATTTCCCGTGTAAAGTGGCATAATAAGGTGAGCAACATGGAGGTTAGGCGTAGAGTTCTAGGTAAACAGGGGAAATCAATCGACGAAGTCGTGAAGCTACAAGGATTGAGATGGTTAGGACATGTGTTACGTATGCCAAGTCATCGCCTCCCTCGACGAGCTATGTTAGCGGATATAGGGTCAGGCTGGAAAAAAGCTAGCGGCGGTCAAACGAAAACTTGGCATCAGTCAATGAAATCCACAACAGTTGGTCTAAGCCACGTAGGAAGGTGTAGACTTCCAGGCTGGGGTCTTCGGGACGGTAAAAATCTATGGTTGGAAACAATTGGTGACATGGCTCAAAATCGTTCTCAATGGGTGGCGCAGATGCATCCACTCCCTGTGACTTATGATCTTCAATGAAACTGTTTTGTATTTCTTTATTACTCCTTTGTCTCACACCTCTGCTCACTGTTTCTATTATGCTTTTCTTGTACTTTCTTCTCTTGCTTCGCGTGCTACACGGAATGTGGCGACTTGAACTTCCGCACATTTGTGCAAAGTTCTATGTCGAAAACAGACAGACAGAAGGAAGTGTAAAACAAAACTATAAAAGGAAAGTTTCGACATTGTGTGGTTATAATTGGTGATATGATTATGAACAACAAAATAGATTGTGTTCGAAACGTCATCCAATGATGAATAATACTGTTTCGCGTATCTTGCTTGCCCTTCGGATTCTGCTTAGTTTTATAACATCTTTATTCGTTCCGCCCGTGTTATAACGGTAGGGTATTGAATGAAGACGTTTTCACCTTATTCTGTCTGCGCCTGAACTTATCTGCCTATCTGCTCGTCGTACCTTCCGACTTAGTAAAGCACGCAAATATCAAAAGACAAAGGCTGGACTGTGACTGTGTATTGAGGTGCAACAACGATAAAGAAAGCCATGGTATTTATACATTTTACAACAATATGGACAGCTAACAGCATTTGAAATAATTTATCTTAATATCCAATAACAAAGTGTGTGAGAAATGATGATATGCCATATGTGCGACATTGACAGTCAGTAACAAAATGTGTGGGAATGATAATATACCATATATAAAAAATTAGCAGTCACTACCAAAATGCGTGAGAATGATAATATACCATATATACAAAATTAGCAGTCAATACCAAAATGTGTGAGAATGATAACATACCATATATGCAAGTTTAAACAGTCAATACCAAAATATGTGGGATCCTATCAGCCCGCCTGTAGTTGAAACGATGCTGGTTGCCTAGATAAGTGAAGGAAGTAACCTCCGCTGAATCTCTTCCTCCTACTGATGGTGATTGGTGCTGTTTGTTGTGGCTGTTGGTTAGTTGGTTGGTTGGTTGGTTATCTTCATCACCTCCGCCTTTTCTTTGTTCACCCACAGTCCTGTCTTCTCTCTACTGCTTCTTCAGCCAGTTTGTTGGTTTTCACCTGCCTGCAAGTCATCGATTTTGTGTTAAATTAGACACATATCATTTGCGATACGAAATTATACATAAAATAATGAAATATAATACACAAACCTTAAATAGTAAAGTGTCTATGTCTGAATACCATTAAATGCACCTGCAGTGTGTGTCAATATGGACAAAAACAACAAAGTTTTGTTAAGGACTATCCAAAGCAGTCAGATTAAACGGCACACGAATTTTCAGATAAAGAATAAAGGTACACACTCTCCGGGATTCGAACCTAGGACCTTTTGGTTACAAGGCAAGCTCGCAGACTATTAAGCCACTGGGACCCGATCCAATGGCCCGGTGGGTGTGTACTGATGAAGATTCCTAAACTAGGCTGATGAAACAGCTGTCCAGTACTCCCTGGTTGGTTTTCCAGTGGTTCTCTAACTGATGTCAGCTCATGATGAAATCCTCCATCCAATCAAAACCAAAATCCCTACAAAACCGATACTTGAAAAAGAATCAAGGGATTAAAATAAACAATGTTCAACAGAGACTGGAATATAGATAGAGCATGTACAATAGGTACCGTTTAAATATATGACGACAACTACTACAGTTCAACAGAATGTTTATATAATGTATACATGTTCTTAATTTCCAGGTGAATCGTGCTGCAAGCGCTTGTAATCTAGACCCATTACAATATTGCAATCAAATGAGTCCTTTATTTAAGGTAGGCAATTTTTTCAGTTATGTTTTGTTCCATACACATGTGTATATATAATCATATTGTAATGACAGAAGAAGAGGGCCAGACAACAGATCGTTTACTGAAGAAATCAACAGATATGCACATTTTTATTAGCGGAGAAGCAACGTCTTCTGATTGATTGTTTTCCTGCTGAAGCCCATTCTATCATCTCTTTGTGGCCGTTTCTTAGACAGTCCGTTGATATATCTGTGAATCGTATCCGCCCACGCTAAGTCTGCTGTGATTGGTTGTTGAGTTCCTCAAGGTTAGGCTTTATTCAAATGAACTGTCGTCAAAATTTGGCAGAATAGTTCTAAAATATTTGGGCGCCAAGTGAGAAGTAGACATTTGTAAAAAATTATATTTGTAAAATCTCAGTGAGATTGAAATGAGTAATTCCAACGTTTCGTTCGGCAATCTGGCCCGAACTTCTTCAGGGAAATTAATCGAAATAACCATAACAGAGGTTTTTATATATAAAAAGGAACATCACTTGTTTTTAAAAACTTTGTCCAATCATGAGTCATAAAACAAGTATCAACAAGTATAATAAACAAAATTTTATGAACTGCGATCGAAATTTGACCTCGGACTTACAAATACTGATCTACCTTTGTTAGACACTTTAAACACAGTGTGTGTGTGTGTGTGTGTGTGTGGGTAAACAGTTGTAAAACATTTCTTAACGTATCCATAAGAAGATATATACAGTCAGGGATTTTGACCAAGTATTATTAATTAGTGATACATATCCATTTTTATTTATTAATCAGGATTTCCTATGCATCAGCTAACAAGATCACACCTTCATGTCTGTTCAAACTGTTAGTATATCTAGAATTTTATGATTAGACGTACTTTCAAAATTATGGTGTTTAGGATTTTCTTTAATAATAATAATAATAATAATTGCTTTATTCCAAAAACAGTACTCATGATACAGCAAGGAATTTTCAGCATTCAGTACAATATTGCATCTAATTTACCCAAAAACGACAAAAAAAATTAAAAATACACAATACATAATAGTAATAAAACGATTGTTGTAGCAGCTACGTAGCAAAATACTGTGTGCCATACGGAGAAAAATATGTATAAAGTACAAAATTGTAGTAATAATAGTAATACCAACTAATATAAAATAGCAGAGTAACGATTTAAACGATAGAAAGTGTAACACCATAAAATACAGAAAGATGAGCGATAAAAGGGTCGATTCACTGTGCTAATTACATAGTAACTTGTAAGTTTCACGTCTAACAGAGTCTTCGTCACATAAAGTACGCGCTAAATAGGGTATTGTAGAATTTCTATACTTAGTAGTACGAGCATATATCTTTTTATATTGACTTCTCGTCCTACCTGATGAGATACAAGGGGACAGGTGTGAATAAAGGGGGTGCAGAGGGTCTGACATTATAGCCTTTGCCCATTTCGTACAGGAATTTATATGCCTCTCGACTATAGTATTAGCGAGCTCATGCAGTGGCAGACCACAAGCTCTACTCACAGCATTTAATACTCTTCGTAATATGATATAATCTTTTTTGAGAAGCCCAGGAAAGATTAATGGAGAGCAGTAGAGTACAATAGGTAAAATACAGGAGTTTAAAAATTGCAAAACTAAAGGTTGGTTGATACCTGATTGTCTTAACTTTTTAATGTAGAAGGTAAGACGAAACATTTTCTTAGAGATAGATAAGATATGGGATGACCATGAAAGGTCAGAGGAAAAAACTAGTCCAAGGTATTTAATACTTGATTTGGTTTCAATTTCCGTGCCATCTATGCTACAGGGATCATGAGAGTTAACTAGTTCAAGTAAGTCACGTCGATGCTTGAAAGTAAAGTCAAGCACCTGACATTTGGAAGGATTTAATATAAGACCATTTGACTTGGACCAGTTGTTGATGTCCAACAGAAAGCTATTAAGTTTGGAGCTGTCAGACTCGGAAGTGATAGGCAGTGATACAGTCAGATCATCTGCATATTTGACAAAGTTAGTTTCGTTTGAATGAGGTAGGTCATGTAGGAAGAAAGAAAAAAGAAAAGGAGAGAGGACAGCACCTTGTGGAACACCGGATTTTGTAAGCGAGGTAGAAGAAGATTTGCCGTTATATACAGTATACTGCATTCTATCAGAAAAATAGGAATGCAACCAACTCTTAGCCCAGGATCCTGTTTGTGTCAATGATAGCTTATTTAATAAAAGGCCCCTAGGTACAGAGTCAAAAGCAGATGTGTAGTCTAAGAAAGCACTACGAACATATTTAGCACCTTTGTCTAAACAAGAGACAACATTGTGATATAAGACAACCGCAGCATCCAAGGTACTTCTACCATGTTTGTATGCAAATTGTTTAGGATCATTAAAAGGTTTCAAAGCGGGTTCAAGACGAAGTAAAAGTAATTTTTCCATCAATTTTAAAAAGGGGGAAGTAATTGCAATAGGCCGAAATTTAATATCAGAACCAGAAGATGGTTTTGGTATAGGGATAATTTTAATGTTTTTCCATGCAAAAGGTAGAACGTTACCGGAAAAAGAGGCATTAAAAATGTTAGTAAGAGGATAACACAAAATATCAGCACAATTCCTGAGGACAATGGCAGGTATGCCGTCAGGACCAAGGCTTTGAGAAGGCTTAAGAGACCGGAGACATTTAAGCACATCAAGGGTATTAAAACCACTAAAGTTATTGTCAATATGATTTGTATCATTTGGAAGGGTATCAACAGAAGAGCGTATGAAAGATTTATTAAGAGTGTCAACATTAAGAGATGGAACAGAAATACATCGCTTACCGTTAGTAATTTCTTTGAAAAGTTTCCATAAATTAGAAGGGGTTTTACATGACAAAAATCTTTGATTATATAAAACACTTAGTCTTTTTATTTCCAGTTTTATCAGCATGTTTAACTTTTTTACACCAGGCTTATCATTAGTTTTGAACAACAGTTCTTTATTTCTACGTAGCTTTTTGAGATATGGCGAAGATAAGCGATCAAATCGGATGAATAATGTTTCTTTAGGACAACATATTTCGAAACAGAATTTAAGATAATCAGTAGTGTTTGTGATTGTTTCATCTAATGTTTGTTCTGTAAATAAGTCCCAGTTAGTGTCTTTCAACATGCATCTGAGCTTGTCTAGGTTGTCTTTTGAGTAGCATCTCCGTTGAACTTTACTGCAGAGGTGAGAGAGGACACCTTTGTGTGATTTGGAATATATTTTAGGCAGCACACGTATGATGCAGTGGTCAGAATTAAGTAGAGGAGCACGTTTGCGAGCTTCATATATACCAACATCATTGATAAATACCAGGTCCAATTTTTTACCAAGACGGGTGGCAAAGTTGACAATATTGTCATGACCAAGTGATATAAGGAAGGAGTGATCGCATGAATTAAAATCACCTGTTACTATTGATAAAGAGTTCTCGAAGCAAGCTGCAGCAAAAGCGGTGAATTCATCGGCGAACATAGATAAATCCAATATGGTACAGCCAGGAGAGACATAAACATTAGAAATATAAATGAATTTGTATTTTGAAATGTGTTTCGGGCGACATCTCACAGTGATGCAATCAATGAAGTCATTCGAGAATTTGAAACAAACTTTGTTTGAAATGGACCATTTTGAGTGAATAAAAGTTGCAACACCTCCACCACACTTTTTCTTGGAACAAATACGGTCTTGTCGAAAAACATTGAAATTGTTTAGAGACACAATATTGTCATCGTATGAGTCATGGAGCCAGGTTTCTTGCAGAGTGACTATACCAGTATTGTGGTAGGTACTAGAAGACAACAGAGACTGAAAATCCAGAATTTTGTTAGGCAGGGACCGGCAGTTGGTACTAATGATAACTGGAACAGTGGTGTGATGTATGGGTGTAGATTTTAAGGCACGCTGCCAACCTCCATGGTGCTTTTTCTTGAGTTTATTGCAAATATGAAAGTTTTTGGGTTTAAAACGTTTTATAAAATCCCGAGGGTAGATAATACGATTAGAATGCATAATGTGATATGTAAATACCAATAAAATACGAGTAAATAGATGCAAAATGTACATGGAATGTGGTAGCCCAAAAATATTCAAACAGGCCGCCAAGGTCATTAGAGTTTAGTTGCAACCTCCTATCGAACTTATTGCTTTATCTTCTTTCTGAAAATTGAGCTGCTTTATTCGACCTACTGGAGTTGTCAGGTGACTCGACAGCTACGGATTTAGGATATATGCATTCTGTTGCAGACAGCGGAGAGTGAAAACACGATGATTGTGCCAATTACACGGTTTCTTTGTTAATTTAATTCGATTGCAAAATAATTCAAATGAACTGTAGTCAAGATTTGACAGAATAGTTTTCAAAAACAAGAGATGTTCCTTTTACTTATAAAACCTCTGTTATGTTAATTTCGATTAATTTCCCTGAAGACGTTCGGGTCAGATTGCCGAACGAAACGTTGGAATGACTCATTTCAATCTCGCTGAGATTTTACAAATGTAATTTTTAAAGCTTTACTATTGTTTTTATTTTCGCATGACCCTGATTCGGGACGTAAACATTGACGTAAATTGTTGTCTACCAATTTTGGCTAGCAGACAGCTTTCACCACAATATGAATCACTCTTAAAACTATTTCTTCAGGTTAGAATTGTACTTATTGGGTGAAAAGATGTTGTTGTAAAGTTGTAAAGCGTCAGTTGAGCGAAGATTCCTGCTGAATACCACTAAAGTTGATTCAGATTTCTTAGTTGAGGAGGATCAGAGGTTTGAAGCCTATAGTAGTCCTTTACCGGTAAGTTTCTGTGCTTCTTCAGACCGTTCTTGAATGAGTCAAGTCAGTTTAGAGTGCTGACACCCCACTTTCGCTGGAAGTCACTTCCAAGAGTTTATGACTTATCTTTGGAAAGAATTGAAAACATTTATTTCCCGATACGAATTTACACACAAGTAACAACAAAAGGTGGGTAATAAAGCAGGATAATTGAATGAATTCATCAAATTTCGGTGGGGCTCTTCTTCAACTGAATACTCTACATACAGGGATATATTTATAATACGATTGGAAATACATTGGGAGAACTTATTATGCTGCAAACCTCCAAGCGAGTGCTTCAACACAATCTGGGAAAGACCAGTCACCAATCCTCGATACTTCAAACTGCCGTGTATTTGTGTGGAAGGAAGCAAATACATAGGTCGTACAGAAAGGCGACTGTCTGTCTACTCGCATGATGAACCATTTGCCAAAGTGGTTGGAAACAGCTGTATTCAAAGTACCAAAATGCTCAATAACAAAACATCTTGTTGACTACGGACATGATATCGACGCTGTCAAGTCATTCAACATTATTGTCAGCAGACAAAAAAAACAACAACAGGAAATTGCTTGCAATTGCGGAGGAGGCTTGTGTGCAAACCGAGTTTATAAATCAGGTCTCTGTGTACAGATGGAGATGGTCATCACTCTGAATCTACCATGGTAATAAGTTTTACCTATTACTTTTTATTATTATTGTCAATATTATTAACACTTTATTCCACTTCTTATTGTTATTCCTGATTCATTTAAAACTATCTTTTATAAGTAGCATTATCTCAACTCGTTTCAGCATTATTATTATTCATGGATAATCCCCATCCAGGCATTAATGAAAACAAAACACGTAGATCAGCGAAGAGTCTCTTTTCGGCGAATTCATTTTCTTAGCTGTACAATCGCAAATATATATGCATTGTTTTGTATGTATGTGTACATTAAGTTTGTCCAACAAAGTTACAATTGGTTAAGGTTACTTTTAACTAAACAAGTGGAGGATGGTAATACAGGTCAAGAAAATTAAGTGCTAATGAAACTAGGGTAGTAAAAAAATGATGAGTTGTCAACTTAATTTTCTTGACCTGTATTACCATCCTCCACTTGTTTAGTTAAAAGTAACCTTAACCAATTGTAACTTTGTTGGACAAACTTAATGTACACATACATACAAAACAATGCATATATATTTGCGATTGTACAGCTAAGAAAATGAATTCGCCGAAAAGAGACTCTTCGCTGATCTACGTGTTTTGTTTTCATTATTATTATTCACAATTCTTGATATATTTAAATTGGGAAAACAGGACTGTGTGGAGGTCAACAGCCCCACTCAGCATCAAAAATAAGATCCGGATTTTCAACTCCAATGTGAAGTCAGTGCTACTAAAGATACCGATCAGAGACTTGGCGCGTCATAGAGAGCATCTCAAACAAACTACATACCTTCATTAACAGCTGTCTTCGCTCAATACTCAAGATCAGATGGCCGGCCAGAAAAGATCAGCAATAGGGATCTCTGGCAATGAGCGAACCAACCCAGCAGGAACCGATTGTGAAACAAATAGGCGGGAAGAAATGGAGATGGATTGGCTGGCCATACTCTGGGGAAACCATCAAGTGAGTGACATCACTAGACAAGCCATTGCTCGAGTGGAACCCGAAAGGGAAGCGGCGAATTAGTTGGTCGTCAGTTGGAGGGTGACTTGGAGGAGGTCATGTGAAGAGGCGATGAAAGCATATGGGCAGACTTGGAGCCATGTGAAAACGTTGACAGAGAACCGAACGCAGTGGAGACGCGGGGTTGAAACCCTACGTTCCTCTAGGAATTAAAAGAAATAATAATAACTATATGAGATTGTATTACTTGAGAATGATATCGCCGAAGAGGAGAGTAACTCTTCGCTGAACTTTTCCATGACTCGATGGGGGGGATTTTAAAGTTACTTTTATAAATTTCTCCTTTTCAGGATCTATGCCATGCTACACATGTCAATTACAATGATTTTATACGTACTACTGAGGGCAGACATATGAATGCTGTTCAGGCATTTTGGGTGAGTTATTTCTGTATTTATTATTATATACATTGTAATATGTAGCGTTTCTTAATTAGATGTAAATAAATAACCATAGAAAAAATAATAACAAAAAGCCAGTTCAACGAAGAAAATTTTCTTTATCGGTGAAATCGTCTTCAGAGGTTGTACAGTCGTATTTGTAACTCGGGATACTTAGAGAAGTCCTCAAGGAAAATGGATGTCATCCTTCGTGCTTCATTGAGAAAAACATGAAAGTAAGACAAAAATCAGAAAGAACTCAGACGGTGCCGAAAAAACCGCTATCCACATGAACGTTGAACTTAAAGGTGGTACTGCAGTTGTGATTCTGAAGAACCCCTGCTTATCCAAATCACTGAGAATAGACTTCTTTCCGGGTGGGTTAAGGATCAATGTCTATAGCCGACAGATGATCAGTAGATGTGTGAAGGATAAACTGCTACCACTTTGAGCCACTTCAGTGTGGTGTTTACAAATTTACAGGCTCCTGTAGAGCTAGTTATATTGGCCGCACTTTGTCCGGCATGGTTAGCAAAAGGACAATGCAAGATAGTTACTAGCTCAATTCTTTAGCACTTGGTGAACTCAAGCCACGTAGCTACACCAGAGTCGTCTTTTAAGATTATCTACAAGGTGAGAGCGATTGGTACAAAGGGCATTAGGCTTCGGCATCTGTGTAAGGCGGAGGCGTCGGTGATTCGTCAATACAACTCCTAACTCTATGTACAGGAAAATTTTGTCCAGTCTCTTATTCTACCGTGGTCTTAACCTCTTCACTAGTAGTCATTCCCAGTAATTTTTTTATCTTTATTTTTAATGATTAGTTTGCTTTTACTTTAATAATTAATTCTCTGTTATCACTTTTACATGCTCTCTTTGTATAATTTCTCACCCTCTTCACACTTGTTAACTGGACACTCAACTACCGCTTTTCTTGTCACTCAATAACAATTTTAACCTTATCAAATTTCTAACTCTTTCTTCTTTTATGCCGTTACTTGTTACGTAATTTACAACTGTCATTTTTACTTTTGAAGCCACTTCTGAAGAATTATATCAATTATGTCACCCCCCCTATTACTTAATAACGGACTACTATACCTGTTTGGTAAATAGAAATAATAAATATTCCCATAGTAAAATTAAGAACAACCCATTTAAGCGAACTATATTGTGGTTTCAATTAGATCTCATCAGGTTTAACTCTAATATACGCACATAACTTTACAAATAAAAATTCAAATATATACAAGTCACTGTGTTTTGTCATAGGATAATAAGATTGTGCATATAAACTGTGCAATTAGTCATAATAGTAGTAACGATAATAATAATGGCCTCATCAATAATAAGGATGAAAAAGTGAAGCAACCTGTGATAACACGAATAATGAAAAGCAGTATGATTAAACAAGCAATTGTCCAGGTGTAAGTAGTCGATAAAGGCTAGTAAAAACAAATGAACCGATTAAGTAATGTTAGATTTTAAGGGAAGGAAATGAAACACGTTTATAATGAAGATGTGGTAAGATTAAGGGATGATAAGAAAGGGGTTGAAAATATAAAACAAGGGGGGTGGTGTAGAAGTCTTTAGTTGGTTATGTCTTATTAGGCCAAGGGAGGGATAATGGCTGTACGAACTTCTTTTGAATGCATAGTTTAGGTTTAATAGTTCGAATGCCTATCGCCTCAGTTGTGTGCAGTGGACGAATACGAAGTCTATTTGAAAGATATGGTGGGATATGATGAATTACTTTGAAGGCTCTCGTTTCCTCCACTAGATGACCACTATCAACTAAATATAACAAAATGGGACCAAACCATGATGGGAGATGTTCAGTAACACGTTCGTTGACTAAGCTGTCTAGTAGTATGCCTAACATGACTGTCACCACAGGTGCAGTTTAATTGATAAATGCACATAGATGTGGCAATACTATCTAGCTTATCCTTCGTTTACACCCCAATCATTTGTCGCCTAGATAATGACAAACATAGGTGTGCTGCGTAAAACGTTCTTCGTATACTTCTGGAAAGTCTCTGGAATAAAATCTCACTTGATAAGTCACCATTAAATTGTCACACTTGATAAACAGAGGTTTTTTACGTGCAGTCATAGTCTCAGGTTTTCTCGCCAATATTTTCATATGTTTCTTTATGGAACTATTCCGAAAGCCGATCTCCGTCAAAGAATCATGAATATTTTCAAATTCCTTTTGTAAGTGGTCATCCGTACATATCTTTCTTGACAATATTTGTTTTATATTCAATTGCCATGAAAAATGTGCTTTTTCTGTACACACTTTTCCAAGTGACCCATCTTCTCGCCTAATTAGCAAGATATCCAGGAAATGGAGTTTAATATCCTGCTTCTTTATTTGTACTTACTTACTTTACTTTACTTTGGCTATCTCCTACAGGAGGATGAGCCGGCTTCATGAACATCTCGAATCATCGCTGCCCAGGCGCGGCGATCTGATGCAAGGTTTTGCGACACAGACGGAGTCCATAGACGGTTTGTAGCCCCAGACACTCCATATCAGCCTTGACTGTACCAAGCCATGTTTTCAGCTGTCCACCCCTGCGACATCGCCAAGATGGAAATGGCGAGGGATTTAGAACTGGTTTGACCAGATCGTCATCTGGTCGGCGCAGAGCATGGCCAAACCACCGAAGGCGACGTTGTTGAACCAGTACTGGAATTTGGTTGATGTTGTAAAGAGTTCATGAAGTTTCATGGGAATTAGGTACGACTAATGTCCCCAGCATCGCTCGGCCTTTTGTTTGAGAGTGCAGCTTCAGCCTTTACACAACCAAGTGTGACCTACAAGGCAGTAGGAGTGGAGTAGGGAGTCCACTATCCATTGTCAGCCCGTGACTGGAGTCCGGTTTATACGCCATTTTGAATGGGGCCAGACATCCAGGGCATCCAATAAGCCCTTTGTCCATACGTCTGTCAGTGAGCTCCTGTGAGCTTTATACGCCAGTCGTTGGAGGTTTGGAATCAGGGTTTAGCCATCTCCCCTAGACTGTCATCCAATGGACAGTCAAACCGGTGAAGAGCGCCGGGTATCCGCTTTTGCCCTCTCACGTCGGTGAAAAACACCTCCGCCACGTGAAGTCAGTGAGTAGGACTTCCTCAAGAGAGGCTATGTAAGACGCCCGGTCATATGGGGGCATTTCACGAGGTGTACGGAGGGGTGGCCAACCCGCAGCGCAAGGCACCCACCCCCGACCATCCTGAAGCTTTGGAGGCTTCTTTATTTGTAAAGCTATATAATCCTGATGAGATCTGATTGAAAACAATATTGATATAAGAATAGAACTTGTGCATTGTGATGGTAGAATACAATTCCATTGTGGGTAAAATTTATTTTGATAAAGTCTCACACAGTGGAGTGTTGTTATGCAGTAATATTTACTGATGACCACGTTTCTAGCACAATTTATTAATGCTGCTCATAATTATATCAAGACACTACTCACACAACTTTCTGACTTCATTTATATAATTTAATTATTTCTCATCGCTTGACCTGATGATTGGTAGTAGTAGTTTCCATATTTTTTGCGGTATGAGCGATGAATCATTCGTATTGCATGTGTTTGGTGTAGATTATTCGATGAACAAGGATTCAGTAATCAACCTCTCTCTCGCTCCCCACCTGGATATATTACTTTTAGAATTTTAACCCTCTCCCACCCACTATTGTGTGGTTGTGTGTTAATACATGCATTGCAATTGTTGAGCTGTTTTCAAAAATACTTATCTTCGCGGGTGGGGTCAACCATTCTTACCTTAGCCACTAAATTCTTATGTTCTGACAATCTGACTACCCCCGATCTACTAAATAGATCTAATAGATATTTAGACTTTAATTCATCTCATCCGTAGTCTGTAAAGACGGGCTTAGTTTAATGTCTAACAAACTGAGCAATAGCACTAAGTAGTACAACAAAAGACCTAAATGTTGAAATAAAACAGGTAGAAGAAGCTTTGGTGTTAAATAACTAACTATCCTAAAAAATTCATTAGGAAGATCAGAAATGGTCAAAAGCAAAATAAAAATAATGGTGAAGCTAGTAGTGATAACATAGATAAGTGGGAATATAAGACATCTACAGTTGTACCATATAGGGAGGGGACATCTGAGACCCTTCCTACGTTGGATTCTTAATAAAGCAGGAATTAGGGTGACGGCGTTAAAACCTACAAACTCACTCACTCAGATAGGACAAGCACTGTAGGTTAAAGGACCCTGTAGGTTGACCCAATTAAACAAAATAATATAATTTACAAAATACCTTGGAATGACTGTGAGTTAGGTCAATTATATAGGTCAAAATAGTAGGTCAGGGTTAGTCAGATTGTCAGAACATAAGAATTTAGTGGCTAAGGTAAGAATGGTTGACCCCACCCGCGAAGATAAGTATTTTTGAAAACAGCTCAACAATTGCAATGCATGTATTAACACACAACCACACATTAGTGGGTGGGAGAGGGTTAAAATTCTAAAAAGTAATATATCCAGGTGGGGAGCGAAAGAGAGGTTGATTACTGAATCCTTGTTCATCGAATAATCTACACCAAACACATGCAATACGAATGATTCATCGCTCATACCGCAAAAAATATGGAAAATACTACTACCAATCATCAAGTCAAGCGATGAGAAATAAATTATATAAATGAAGTTAGGAAGTCGTGTGAGTACCTTGAAATGAATATGAGCAATAAACTGTGCTCCAAACGCCATCAGTAAACATTATTGTATAACACACTGTGTGAGACATTATCAAAATAAACTTCACCCATAATGAAATGCAGACAATATTGTTCGATTAAATGTATTGTTCTAAATATAAATACGACTGTACAGTACAGTCTGTGAAGATGATTTTATCGATAAAGAAAATTTTCTTCACTGACTGAATTTGTCTTTTTTTTATTTTGCTTCCTAACTCAATGGGCAATTTCGGTGATGCATTTCATTTTAGAAACGTTTAACCGACAGTGGTCACCTATATCGAAGTAAATATTCTGGTTGGTATTGTACCTCGGATGAAACATTTTACATGCCATGGGAAATTGAAACTTCATCGTCATCATCAGCATCATCATCGCCGTTGTCGTCGTCGTCGTCGTCACCGACATCCCTTTCCAAAGATGGACCTGTAGCAAAAGAAACCGGTAATCCAGTAGAATGGGTTGAAGAAGACAATTATGTATTTAGGATATCATCATTTAAAAATGACTTACACTCATGGTTGGATTCAGGAGGTAAGTTGTGATTTTTTGCCTTCTGAAGGGAACATAACACTTCAAGATCTAAAGTTTCAGGTGGAGTTGTGTTGCTTTTATTGGGTGGGATTGTTGGCCTTACAAACTTCCTTTCTTTTCGGGGTTAATAAACTAAGTGGTGTTTAGGCATCTCTGTAGTTCATAAAACTAATGAATTTAAGCCAGCAAATAGTATTTAGCTCTTTCTCAGTAGGGTATTATTAGGTAGCCAGACGAGAGTTCAATTCGAAGAAGTACTGGTATGAGGATTCGGTGTGAGATTTTGCTATTTTGACGGAGTTTAGTCAATCGCATTTGTTTCAGGAACTGCCGTGATAAAACAACCTGTTCGCGAATACTGTTCATAAAACTTGATCTTTGTTGATTCTCTAGATATTCTGCATCATATGGTCACCACCTGATTTAGTGACTTAATAGTTTGGTCAGGGAGGCGTCTTTTCAAAACTTCCGGTAAAGAAAGGAAGACGAAATTTGCAGTATAAAATGGTATCATACTATTTCACAGGTTCTCAACAGCTGCAGACTACCTGAAATTATTTGTGTTTTCTTTGAGCTGGTTGATTTTATTTTGAAGCTTTTGTCATCATCCCCTTCTAGACAACAACAGGGAGATAAGATAAAATATCAGGAACTGCAGCAAACACAATTACATCAGTGACCAGCAGGGTGCAGCTGGTCGCGTATGAGGACAAATACTCGCCGAAGACATTGGCTAGGGGTCGCACTATGTTGTGAATTGGTAGACGTTAGAATTCGTGGGCCATTGGATCGGGTCCCAGTGGCTTAATGGTATACGAGTTCGCCTTGTAACCTGAAGGTCATGGGTTCGAGTTCCGGTGGGTGCGTAGTGCTGAAGAGTCCCAAACTAGGCTGACGAAATAGCTGTCCAGTACTTCCAGGCTTTCCAATGGTTCTCTAACTAATGTCAGCTCTTGATGAAATCCTGTAAAAAATTACATCAGTCAAAATAAGCGTTCCATTGGATTCCGAATCTGATATTGGTTGACAAGATATACAATATATCACCGTTCATTGAGAATTCCAACCCGTTGTGAAGCGATGTTTTCTAAAAGGGCTGGTGGACAACGAAAGCTTCACAATTAGACCATCAATCAGCTCAGCTCAGAGAATACAACCACTGAATCAAAATCATCCACCTGAACTGTTAATCTTCTCTAGCATAGTTAATTCTTCCTGGTTATAAGAGTATTACATTCTCAACAATACATGAATATATCTGTTACTACCGGGGATATTGGTGATCCCATCCAATAATTTAGTTCCCTGTGTGTGTGTTTTTGTGAAAGTTCAAAATCTAAGTTTCTCTCGTTTCTAATAATTCCTAGGGATAAGTTTATTTGAGTTTTCAAATCCCCATTTACACATTTAGAAAAAACAACAGATTGAGAGGAGAAATATGCAGTCCTTTCCAATTAGTTCCTCACCATCGGTTGACTGTACACACTAATATATAGTTTCTTACATCAAAATTTCTTTACCAATCAAGTGGCTATTTTCGTAATATCTGTTTTAGGTATAACAGGAGTAGTTGGAATTAAACAGGTTTTAAATTCCATATTAGTTTGTTTATTAGATGTATCACACAGTCAGCGAAACAGTATTATTATTATTTACTGGATGACGTTTCGAACAAAATGTATTACCGTTCATAATCATTCTATCAGTTATAATCACACGACTTCGAAACTTGAGCTTTATAGTTTTCTTTGTCCTCTCTCTCTGCTATTTGTCGTCGTAGGTGGGTGGTAGTAGAATTTTCCAGATATCTGGGTGGACAGGTGTTGAATCATTCCTATTACACGTATTCTATTTACTTGATTCGATAAACAAAGCTTCCGTTGTTAGCAATCTCTTCCTCCATTCACCTTGTTACATTAGATTTTACAAAATCTAGATTGTTTGACCCGAATAAGATTAGAAATCTAGAGAATAGTTCAGTTATAGCATTACATACAGTCACATACAACCAATAGAATGGGATAGGATGACAGTTTTAAAATCTAATGTCACAGGGTATAGTGAGAGATTGATAACGGAAGCTTTGTTTATCGAATCAACTGAAGGGATTACGTGTAATAGGAATGATTCAACACCTGTCGAGCCAGACCCCAACGACGACAAATAGGAGAGAACAAAGAAAACTATAATACTCAAGTTTCTAAGTCGTCTGATAACAATCGATATGATTATGAACAATACTAGATTGTGTTCGAAACGTCATCCACTAAATACTAATACTGTTTCGCTGACTGTGCGATACATCTAATAAACAAACTAATATGGAATTAATAAGAAGACAATTGCAGCGAAGAAAATGTTCTTTTCGACGAAGTCATCATCTAGGCTGTACACTCGTGTATTTATATCAAATGGATGGGGAAGTTCCGGAATAATATCCGATCAAGGGTCAAATTAATAAAAATTACAATTAGGAATTAGAATGCCATAATAAACAGGGGGATGGATAAAACAAACAATTACTAAGAAGATTGACATTGTGCAATTAGGGGTTAGAAATGTAGAAATAACAAAATAGACAGGATGTTTGGATAAAACAACTAATGTGATGAATAATTGTTTATGCAATCAGGGATTAAATGTGTAGAAATAGTAAAATGACAAAATAAACACTAACTTCAGGTATGAAAATATGGTAGTGTAAACAGGGATTAAGAAAAACTTGAAATAACATGAATAAACAGGAAGTTTAGATAAGAAAGGCGATGGGATGGTCATTACTAAAAATTACCTGTTTGTGATGGCCATGGCAGGGACAGGGGTTGGACGTATTTCTTTTGGATACAAAGGGTGGGTTTGAGCTTTTGTATAGCTAGCGCCTCGGCTATGCCCAGATGCCTTGATTTTACTCCCTTTTGATAGGTTTGATCGAATCTTGTACATCCATCCCATCCATTTGATATAAATACACGAATGTACAGTCTAGATGATGACTTCGTCGAAAAGAAAATTTTCTTCGCTGCAATTGTTTTCTTATTAACTCCTATGACCCAAAGTGTATATTCCGTAATATGGAACTGCTTGCTACCACAATGTCCAAGTCTTACACATATATATAAATAAGAGGTTTGTAGTTATCAAAACAATTAACTCACAGATGTTATTAACACGATTTCTAAGTTTCAAAGGAAGGAAGGAAAGAAGAGTGAAAATTAATTATTAGCAGAATTATTAAGAAGACAGTTGCAGGGAAGAAAATCTTCTTTTCAACGAGGTCGCTGTCAACTAGGAGGCTGTACATTCGTGTATTTATGATAAATGGGTGTGAAAAATTTCCAGAATAATTTCCGGTTATGGGTAAAATCGATAAAATTACAATTACGAATTAAAATGCCATAATAAACAGGGGGACGGATAAAGCTAAGGCAAATTAGCATCATAATTACTGAGAAGATTGACATCTTGTACAATTGGGGGTTAGAAATGTAGAAATAGCAACAATAGACGGGATGTTTAGATAAAAAATCTAGTGGGATCATAACTAATGTGACGAATAATTGTGTTTATGCAATCATGGATTAAATATGTAGAGATAGTAAAATGACAAAAATAGGCAGGAAGTTCGGATATGAAAATATGGTAGTGTTAATAGGAGGGATTAAGAAAAACTTAAAAATAACATGAATAAACAAGAAGTTTGGATAATAAAGGCAATGAGATGGTAATTACTAAAAGAATTACCTGTTTATGATTTAGTTATTACCATCCCATTGCCTTTCTTATCCAAACTTCTTGTTTATTCATGTTATTTTTAAGTTTTTCTTAATCCCTCCTATTTACACTACCATATTTTCATATCCGGACTTCCTGACTATTTTTTGTCATTTTATCATTTCTACATCTCTAACCCCTAATTGCACAATCAATGTCAATCTTCTTAGTTATTATGATGCTACTTTGTTTGAGTTTTATCCGCCCCCGCCCTGTTTATTATGGCATTTTAATTCCTAATTGTAATTTTATCGATTTGACCCATAACCGGAAATTATTCTGGTAATTTACCATGCATTTGATATAGATACACGAATGTACAGCCTAGTTGATAGTGATTTCGTCGAAATGAGAATTTTCTTCCCTGGAACTGTCTTTTTAATAGTTTCTATGGTTATCAAGCATTCATTCTATCGCTGAACCACATCGGAACTACAACCAGGGAATAATGGGTAAGTGTTTCGTACTAGTTTGAGACGCCTCAGTGTAGTACACATCCATGAAACTACTGAAAAGATTTTTCCTAGCAACTTCAGGTTAAGAGGCAAACCCGTTGGCAGCCCAACCAACCGCTGTGAAACACAAAGTAATAGGAATATACAGATTTTGAAATAAACAGGTCAGAATAAAATATGTGCTAGGGTAGTGATTAGTCTGTAGTAATTCTTTGGTGAGATTCATTAGTCTGTCTTCTCAAAAACTCTTCAATTTAAAAAAAAAAACAATCTATAGTGCTAGTCACTTACTAGTTTGTAGACTTGTCTTTCGAAATTCTAACGAAATAGTCATGAATCTTGAAAATTTTCAAGTTAGATGCCGAGAATGTTAGTGAGGATGGTATGAAAATCTTACTTTACAATGATATGTCACAAAATAGGTGATTATTATTATTATTATTTTATAACGACAGAAGACAAGGGTCAGGCAACAGATCGTTTGCTGAGAAAATCAACAGATATTTATAGATTTTTATGTACATTATTATTAGCAGAGAAACGGCCTCTTCTGATTGGTCGTTTCCTCACTGTAAGTTATTCTCTCATATGTTTGTGGCCATTTCTTTGAAGGTCAGACCATCTATCTGCGAATCGTATCCGCCCACGTAAAGTCTGCTGTGGTTGGTTGTTGAGTTAGTCTTTGTCCTTGTTATTTTCTCATGACCAATATTTGGTGCGTAAAGATTGACGTGAATTGCTGTCTACCAATTTTGGCTAACAGACAGTTCTCACCACAATTACTATTCTAAGGAGACGGTTTCAACGAAGAAAGTTTCTTTTCGACAAAGTCATCAACTTGGAGGTTGTTCATTCGTGTATTTATAGTAGTAAATGTGCGGGAGAAAGCTCGAGAACTATTTCCGGTCAAAGGTTAAATTCATAAAATTACAAAGTGTAATAATCAGTAAGATATAGTAGAAAGGGCATTAATGAGATCATAGTTTCTAAAAAACTTGACGGATTCGAGACGCGATAATAACAAAATCGTCAGAAAGTTCAGATTTATAGAAAAACCAACAAACGGACCTAGTAATGCAGATAGGAGTTGAAAACGTAGAAATAACAGAAATCAACAGGAAGGTTGGATATTACAGGTGGTAGTAAGATAATGATTATTGATGGGACTGACTTTTCATAATGACCAACGGTTGAACGTATTTCTTTTGAATGCATCTCATGGGCTTGAGCTTTTTGATCGCCAGTGCCCTAGTCATTATACCCAGATATCTTCATTTCATTCCCTTTGTGGGAGACTTCTGATCGTATCTTGTATGTGACTTTTGAAGGACTTTTCATTCCAATGGGGCTGAATGTCGTGCATTCACTAGATCTTCTGTTACCGAACTGTATACACCCTTGTATTCTCCCTTAGCTAACCATGCTGGAGAGTGTTCCTGGGCGGGGTTTGCAAGTGGACACATGTTACCTACGTCTAATGTGCTGTCTCCACAAGAGAAAGTGAACTGGTATATGCATGTTGATGTGGCCCAATGAAACAACTTGTCTTTCACATGCTGGTTGGATGGTTTCTTGCAGGAGAATGTTACTCGTAGGTTGGCACGTAGGCACAGTATGTTTTACTGAGAGAATTGGAAAGCCGTCTACGGAAAAGTTCTGCTTAGATATCACTTTTAAATTCAGGGTTAAGTATCAGCCTATTTTTGGAGGCGACTTGAACTTTTTCAGGCATTTTATTTGGTTTTAGATTCTTGTCTATGAATCTGGGTGAAAGGGAAACCATTTTCTGCCAAGATCTCTCGGAGATATTGGAATTCTTTGTCAATTGACTCTTCAGTGCATATTTTATGGATCCTCGAGGAAAGAAAGTATGTTAGGTTTCTCTTTCTGCTAAGAGGTAGATAACTTTGAAAGTTAATAAACTGTCGATTCTAACGTGGGCTTTTTGTAAATGGATCTTCTCAGCGAGTTGTCAGCCATCCTTCTCAGTTGGACATTGAGGAATGCAGAGTCTTCTGAACACCTTGAGGTGCAATCTACAAATGTTTAGCATGCGATTTGCTCCCGCCAAATGCAAGATGATGTTATAGGACTGGACTACACTGACTCCTAGTTTAGAAATAGGGAGTGAAGTGGCTGGTGGAGCACGTCGAACGCTTCACTTACTTGGGAAGTACCATCAGCTCCAACGGGTTGACCTCTGACGAAATCTTACCACGGATACAGAGGGCTAGTTTCGCATATGCCAATTTAACGCCTTCTTTGGCGTAGACGTGATATCTGGCTACCGACCAAAGGGCGGGCGTACTGCGCGGCCGTCCGCTCCGTCCTCCTTTATGGCTGTGAGACCTGGCCATTGAGAGTGGAAGACATGAAAAGATTAGCTGTCTTTGATCATAGGTGCCTGCGTTCTATCTCCCGTGTGAAGTGGTATAATCAGGTGAGCAATATTGACGCCAGGCATCGGTCGAGTGGTAGGTAAGGAGGGGAAATCAATTGACGAGGCTGTGAAGTTACATGGATTGACTCAGATGGTTAGGACATGTGTTATGTATGCCTAGTCATCGCCTTCGTCGACGGGCAATGTTAGCTGACATAAGGTCAGGCTGGAAAAGAGCTAGTGACGGTCAAACGCAAACATGGCATCATTCAATGAAATCCACAGCAGTTAGTTTAAGCCAGCCACGAAGGAAGGTGTAGAATTCCTGGCTGGTTGGGGTCCTTAGGACGGGAAAAACCAATGGCTGGAAACTATTGGTGACATGGCTCAAAATCTTTCTCAATGGCTGGCGCAGATGCATCCACTCCTTGTGACTTATAATTTCCAATGAAACTATATTGTTCTTCGTTATTACTATTCCTTTGTCTCACACCTCTGTTTACTGTCTCTAATATGCATTTCTTTTACTTTCTTCTCTTGGTTTGTGTGGTACATGGAGGGAGTATAGTGACTTGAACTGCCGCATATCATGCGAAGTTCTGTGTCGAAGACAGATAGACATTGAGGAATTGAAACGTTGAGTTAGAGTCAACTGCGTGAGTGAAGTTGATGCGTGTTGGGTGTGGGCGTTACTTAGCGTTTGGGACAGGTGTTTTAGATCAAAATTACCTTTGATTTTGAGTGGGGCATAGGACTACAACACTTCATCTCCTTCTCACTCTGTTCCAGTCGACCCGACGATTGCCCCTATGCCTTCAATTCCACTCCACACGACTTCCGTTATGTTATCCTTGGACACCCAACTCTTATTTTCGAATTCAGGTCCCACTTGAAGGCAAGCCTAGTGGTTCTTCTCTGAGTGGCAGGTTCTTGATTCGTTCGTTGCCACAGTTTTTTTTTTTTTTGGTATATCCTTTCTGGTTATCTGATCTCTAATGTCCATCGACTGATCTGTGGAGAGGAGGTCGATTGGAGGTGGGCTCGTCAAACTTTTAACTAGTAGCGAGTCATTTCATCTCTCCAATTCCAATTTCTGTGACTTGAAATTTCCGAGGTTAAGGACGTTGGTACCACGCTCAATCTTCTATCTCTCTCTCTCTATTTCTGGGCTTGAAATCGGCCGGCTAACAAACAAGGGAATTAGGCGAGGTTTTCATATAGAACTGTACGGTGAATCAACACCCAATAGTTGCTTTTGTTTTCCCAGAAAGTTTTTCATATACTTAAAAGTTGATTGGTGAATGGTGACTAGCAGTAGAGTCCAGGATATAGCACATTTTGTCCTATTTGGGACTGACTCATCATTCACCAGTGAGTCAGTGATGGTGTTCCCACCGAGGCTCCAACGCGAAAGCATTATCCACTAGACCACTTGGGCCACGAGAGCCACTGCCTTTGTGCAACGAGTCATATTAATTATTTAATTGAATTTTTAAGATTTTCCCGTCGATTGTTTGGACGGAAATGCTCTGTGGCCCAATTAACTTCTAATTACGTGCCTAGACATCGTCGAAGCATCTGTACAAGGAAGAGACGTCATGTGTCAACCTTAGACCGAGTACTTCTGTCCAATCAATCAATGGACGGAAAAATCTAAAAAAAAAATTGAATTAAATTTTTCTCATATACGTCTAATTTTTAAATGTTTTTCTTTGTCTTTTTAAAAACAGTATTTCCTAAGTCCTCCACTCAATCTGTTTGGACTGAAATAGCGCACGGTATGGTAGACACAATTCATGATGTATCTGTATCAAGGCCAAAAAGTCGTTTGAATTGGGGTATACCAGTTCCTGGCGACGACCAACAAGTGGTAAGTCTTGTTTTTTATTTTGACTGTGTGTGGGTGTGACTAAAAATTAAGAGGTTTAAAAGGGGGCGTTGCCGCTTCTCCTTCGGTTTATAATAAGACTATCGGCTGCATGTTTCAGTGTCCTATTAGGATCTAATACTCGTTGTTTCGAGATCATTCTTGGTGATTGTGTGTCTTTATATACACACACACGTGGACACCTACTTGATCGATTTTGCTGGGTAGCTAAAAAAAAATGTTATGTACTCGTCGCTAAATTATTGTTATGGACTGGTCGAGAAACTAATAGTCCTGACGTGAGAAGGCGGAAATCAGAAGACCACTAGGTTTGCGATGATACTTCTATTGTCCAAACACAAGGAGACGAAAATAAATGGTCTCACACCAAAGTGGTAAGCAAGTCAAGTAGTTGTAAAGTAAGGTAGTTCACACAAATTGTGAATGCGAATATATAAATAATTCAGACAAGCGTGGGAAAAAATCATTAGACAGTCTTAACATGAATGGCTAATTATAATGGAGTGTCGATCCAAATATACATAGCGAATATAGCAGACATGCCAACAAACATATATGGATATATGTCACTAAGCAACGGACTGTCAACAAACACTCATATTATATATAAGATAATATAAGGAGAATACACATTATTAAAGGAGACAAGTCCATACAAGTGAAGTGGTCACAGACTAACCGAGCAAACAGAAAGAGAGACCAACATGCACACACACATAAATATATATATGTGGATACATATCAAAAAATCCCCCCATTGAGTCATATGAAAAAGAGAAGATGTATTCAGCGAAGAGACTCTTTTCGACGGTGAATTCATTCACATAGCTAGCTGTACAATCGCATTTTCAATTACAGGCCAACGGAACTGACGAGGATATCAAAGCAGCGAGGATCGGTAAAGCAAGACAAGCTTTCATTACTCTCACCAAGTCTGTGTGGAGATGAACATTACTACTCAGCATCAAAAATAAGGTCCAGATTTTCAACTCCAATGGGAAGTCAGTCAGTGCTACTCACTATACGGATAAAAGACTTGGCCAGCGCGTCATAAAGAGCATCTCAAACAAACTACAGGCCTTCATTAACAGTTGTCTTTGCTCAATACTACTGAAGATCAGATGGCCGGCCAGAAAAGATCAGCAATAGGGATCTCTTGGATCCAACCAACACACTAGGAACCGATTGTGCAACAAATAGGCAGGAAGAAATGGAGATGGATTGGCCATACTCTGAGGAAACCATCAAGTGACATCACTAGACAAGCCATTGCTTGAGTGGAACTCGAAAGGAAAGCGGCGAGTTGGTCGTCAGTGCAAGGGTGACTTGGAAGAGGTCATGTGAAGAGGAGACGAAAACATGTGGGCAGACTTGGAGCGGGTTGAAAAAGTTGGCAGAAAACCGAAGGCAATGGAGACTTGGGCGGCTGAAGCCCTATGTTCCTCTAGGAATTAAAGGAAATAATAATAATAATCGCGTTTATATATAATTATTTGTGTGTGTGTGCACATGACATTTGTCAAGTTTAGATAATTAATTAGGTAATACAAGAATGATCTAATATAGAAACAAGGTTCATTAGACATCAGCTAAAGTAAGATTGAGTTAGTAAATTAGATGATGCAATATTATTAACTAAAATGTTTCAACTTAGGTCAGGGTAGCAACAGAGGTAATTACAAGTAGAGACTAAGTAGAGGTGGCTTAGAGAATAATGCCATTTAAATTAAAACTAAAATTGAGCAAATAAATTTGATGACGTAACATAAATGACGAGAAACTGAGCGTTGGTTAAGTCAGTAACAGTGGTAGTGAAGTGTAGAAATTAAATCACTTTGGGGTAGAGAAAAGGAAAATGTAAAATATTACTATTGAAAAGACAAAATAATACTACTAATGAAGAGACAGAAAGAAAGAAATAGAATTTACCTCTCGCGTATTAAGACAGATTACGTTCATTACAAGCAAGAAAGACCGACTTCCACATTGTTAGATAAGTTTACTTGGGATAACACACATTGGAATACTGGAGAAGATTTGCAGCACAGGTGGGTGATATTGAATGAGTTGTATTCTCAGAGCTGAGTTGATTGATTTAATTTTCAAAGATTACGTCATCCCCCCTTCCGCTGGACAACATCGCCTCAGCGCAGGTTTTAGTTATAAAATAAACTCTCTTCATGAACCTGGAATTCAAAGGTAACATTGCAGCAGTTATTGTTAGGAACCGCCTTTCTAGATGTCTGAAGACATTTCAAACAGTGACCTTACGTGTCACATTCTCCTGCAGACAGTTAATCCAGTCTAACGCTAAAGACAAGATACCGCTTTTGGCCACTACAATGTGTATTTATCAATTTACTTGCTCGTGTGGAGCAAAGTATATTGGCTGTACGCGACGTCAAGTCCACAAACGTATTCTCGAACACTGTCCAGATTAGCTGGCCAACCGGAGGAGAAAAGAAGAATAGCAGCAGCTCTATCCTCGAACACCTTATCATCTCCGGACATCAACACCCTCCGTCGAATGAATGCTTTACAGTGCTACGCAGAGTCCCTCAATAATGTACGAAGGAACTTCGCATACGCCATCTGTACATAGCTGAAGCATTAGATATTCAGGATTTGAAATTGGATCTCTGCTTTTAAAAGCGCTACATACATTCACTCACCCTATCGTGGCCACAGTAACGTTCTTACTATAATTTTGCTCGGCTTTTATTATGTAAATTTACTATTATTATTATTATTATTATTATTCACATCACCTATATTTTATTACCACTCTATTACCGTTTATTAATAACATTGCATTTTCATACAGATTTTATATAAAAACACTATCCCCTTTCTACTAGTTCCTGTCCATTCTACGCAAGCTTATTGATTAGTCATTATCTCACACTTATTATTACGTCATGCCAACTTCTGCCTCTTGTCTAACTTACAATTAGTCATCCGATCTAGGTTACACCTTACATTACGTAATACATTTTTCGAGGACAAAGTTTACCAGTATCTGATTGGTCTAAAGATTTCTTTGTTAAATATATGAATACGATTGCACAGCAGCTCATGAAAATGAATCGTCGAAAAGAAGATTTTTCTTCGCTGTTTACGTCTTTTTCTTATAAAATAAACTCATTTGATTTCTCCATAAATGATGATGTAATTGGCAACCATTGTCGTGCGTGACTAGTTATTGATTTTCGTCTCTAATCCCTATTCAAGGAAGAAATAGCGAAACGAGTATCTGAAGTTGACAGCAAGACTCCTCCTGAGAAAGCCTAGTACAATGCATAGTTAGCTGTAGACACAGCTGTAAAGGCTGTTAATGAGGTAAAACCAAAAGTTAGTAAGAACCAGTCGGTTTCTACTACCTCATACGAACTTGTTAGGGCGAGAAGCCTGATTCCGGCCAGTTCCGATTATGGTGAGGAGCGACAGCTGCCCAAACGCTAATTAACAAGAAGTCTTCGCAATGACAAAAGCGAAAGAGATGGAAAAGGTATTGTCGATAAATAACACCAGACAACTGTTTATGCTTATCAGGGAAACAGGGGTTAAAGGCAAATAATAAGCGAAACAATCTCTGAGAAAAATGATACCATAATTAGCTCCCAGGATAAACGACTGGGACGTTGGAAAGGACACTTTGAGGAGCAGTTTAATCGGCCTACATCTACGCTCAACTTATCGAGCATCCAACACCTCCCTGAATGGGATATAAACACAGGTCTTCTGTCTCTAACTGAGGTTAGAAAAGTTGTCACTAGTCTGAAACGAGGCAAAACATTGCGATCTGATTGTTTGACTCCAGAGGTATTTAAGGACGGTGGAGACAGTTTACTATCTGTGTTAGCTAAGGTAGTAGGCAGCGTTTGGGAATCAGAGATAGTCCCATCAGGTTGGTGTAAGTCACTGATTATCCGGATATACAAGAAGGGAGACAAGTCTTCCTGTGATAATCACATGAAGATTAGCTTGATTAGTATAGTATCTAAAATTCTAGGTTCAGTAATAATGCGTAGACTAAGTGGTGCTCGGAAGTAACAAACACGAAAGAACTAGACAGGCTTTAGGCCAGGAAGAGAGTGTATTGATCATATATTCACTCTTCGCCAGATTCTGGAACATTGGCATACTCACCACTGGCGTCCAACAATCGTCATATTTCTTGATTTGGAAGTGCCATTCGATTCTGTCGACCGAGAGGTACTCTGGCGATGTTTAACTGTGAAGGGAATACTGGGAAATACATTGCACTGACTAAGACGCTCTGCTCGAACTGATGCAGTCAGCCAGGTAAGAGCCTGCAGTATCCAACAGGGATGCCCAAAATCCCCATTTCTCTTTAATTTCATCATAGATATATTTGCTAATGAACTTAATCCTAACAGAATTCAGCGACTTGGCGGGTGACTTGTTACCACCAAGGCTTAGTAGTCTCGCTGACTTAGAATATGCAGATGACATAGTCCTTCTAGATGAAGACACTCACAAAATGTTGAGTCTTCTGAACACCTTGAGGAGTGGGAATCTTGGGATGTTTGGCATGCGATTCCGTTTTGTTGTCAAATGTAAGATGATGTTATGGAACTGGACTAGACTAGATTCACCCACTCCTAGCCTAAAGATAAGCAAAAGTGGAGTGGTTGTTGGATCGTGTTGATCACTTCACTTATTTGGGTGGGGGATTAGTTGCATCAGCCCGGTCAGCGGGTTGATCTTATTATTGACGAAATCTCAGTATGAATACAAAAGACTCGTGTGGTATTCGCCAACTTATGCCATCTCTTGCGTTGACGTGATATTCGGCTGGCTGGTTGGCTGTCTACCAAAGAACGTGTGTACTGCTCAGCAGTCACTTTGCTCCGTCCTCCTTAATGGCTAACTGTGAGACATGACTACTGAAAGTGGAAGACTCGAAGGGCCTGGCTATCTGGTTCTCTTTGATCATAAATGTCTGCGTTTTAATCTCCCGTCTGTGTTAGGTGGTGGTATAATAAGGTGAGCAAAAATTAAGGTTAGTCCTTGGTTGAGTGCTAGGTGAGTTGTAGGGGAAATCAATAGACGAGGTTGTGAAGCAGGTGAATCGATTGAGAGAGATGGTTAGGACATGTGTTGGTAAGCTTGCATCTTTAGTCATCGGTCGCCTTCTTCGACAACGGGCAATGTTAGCTGACAAAGGATTAGGTTGGAAAAGAGTTAGCTAGTGGCGGTCAAACCAGAACATGGCTTCGTCAGTCAATGAAATCCACAACAGTTAGATTAGGTCAGCCAGTTACATAGGGAGGGAGGTGTGGACTTCCTGACTGACTGGTTGTAGTCCTCGGGATGGTAAAAACCAATGACACTCACTGGAGACAGTAATATGATTCAAAATCTTTGTCTATAGCTGGTGGTGATTTGTCATATTCAATAAAGTTCTATTGTTTTTGATTGGATACTAGTCAGTAACTACTGTAATGTTTGTGTCTAGTCCTCGTATCTTTGGCGCAGACTGAATTCTATCAGTCAAGCTTGCAATGTGGCCACCATACTACTACTAGGTGGCTCGCCATCACAGTGCACTGTGAATTGTTGGTGTTATATGGTTGGGGGCAATCGGCAGGAAGCCTTGGACCTAAGACCTAAGTTCTATTGTTCTTCCATATTACCTATTATTCTTTTTGCCTCACATTTCTGTTCATTATCCGTCTCTATTTTGAATATCTACTTACTCTTTTCTCTTGCTTTGTGTGCTACATGGGGGGAGGGAGGGAGTGTCAACTCTAACTTCTGCACATGTGTATTAAGTTTTACGTTGAAACTAGTCGGGCAAGGGGGGGGGGCTCGTTTCGTATTTGCCAGTTTACGCCGACTCTGGTGTAGACGAGATGTTCGACTATCGACCAAAGGGCGGGTGTATTGCTCATCAGTCCGCTCCGTCCTCCTTTATGGTTGTGAGACCTGGCCACTGAGAGTGGAAGACTAGCTGTGTTTAATGATAGGTGCCTGCGTTCTATTTCCCGTGTAAAGTGGCATAATAAGGTGAGCAACATGGAGGTTAGGCGTAGAGTTCTAGGTAAACAGGGGAAATCAATCGACGAAGTCGTGAAGCTACATCGACTGAGATGGTTAGGACATGTGCTACGTATGCCAAGTCATCGCCTCCCTCGACGAGCTATGTTAGCGGATATAGGGTCAGGCTAGAAAAAAGCTAGCGGCGGTCAAACAAAAACTTGGCTTCACCAGTCAATGAAATCCACAACAGTTGGTCTAAGCCACGTAGAAAGGTGTAGACTTCCAGGCTGGGGTCCTCGGGACGGTAAAAATCAATGGTTGGAAACAATTGGTGACATGGCTCAAAATCGTTCTCAATCAGTGGCGCAGATGCATCCACTCATTGTGACTTATGATCTCCAGTGAAACTGTTTTGTTCTTCGTTATTACTCTTCCTTTGTCTCACACCTCTGCTCACTGTTTCTATTATGCTTTTCTTGTACTTTCTTCTCTTGCTTCGCGTGCTACACGGAGTGTGGTGACTTGAACTTCCGCACATTTGTGCAAAGTTCTATGTCGAAAACAGACAGACAGACAGACAGTCGGGCAGCCAGTCAGTTATGTATCTATGTCTAAATATATCACTGAAAAGGAGGACAGTTTGACACTTGTTGAAATCGTTGAATCGATTGTGTTTAGCATATCATATGGTATAATATCAGTATGAATGAGGCATTGAATGTGTTAACTATGCGTAATTTTCATCCCTTTTTTTCTATAGATTTATGTCTGGTTAGATGCACTAATCAATTATCTGACAGTAACAGGATTCCCATGGTCAGATGATGATGATGATGTCGGTAATTCCAAGCGTATTTTATGGCCACCAGATGTGCAATTTTTAGGCAAAGATATATTAAGGTGAGTATTTTGAAAAAAAAAATGCTGGTCAAATCTTCTTCATGAAAACAAAACACATAGTGTGTTCAGCGAAGAGTCTGTTTTTTGGGGGCGACGAATTCATTTTCACAACTGTACAATGGCAAATATGTATGTGTTATTATTTTGTATGTGTATGTGTACATTAAGTTTGTCAAACAAAAATACAATTGGTTATAGTTATTTTAACTAAACAGGTGAAGATTGGTGATTGGAGTTACATAATACAAAATCAGTCAAGAAAGCTGGGTGTTAGTGAAATTGGAATAATAACAAAAGGTGATGAGTTGTCACAAACAGTTGTTAAAAAGGAGTTATGTAATACTACGGATAGTTTGATGATTGAGTTTTACTCAGGATGCACATAGAAACAAATTAGATAATATGAAATTACATAAGAGTTCTAAATGAATGTACAAGAATTATAAACAATTAAAGAAACAAGCAAGCAAACAAAATTAAGTCATCAAAAATCAACAAAGTTGTTACTATGATAGTAGAAGTGGTTGAGTAATTCTCTTTTGTGTGCACAGCTCTGGTGTTTCTGTGTCAATGGCCAGAGCTTCAACAATACATAGAAGACGAAACCGAATCGTCTGTGGTAGGTTATTCTTGACTCTGTAGATTACTTTGAATCAGGAGGTGTTTGTTGAGATGGAATGATCAGTGTTAACCAGGTGTTCAGTTATCGCACTCCTTATTGCACTACTATTGCCTTTTCGTAACCATGCTGGATAGTGTTCCTGAATCCTCTTGGACAGAGTGCGCGTCGATCGACCGATGTGCCTGGCTCCACAGCAGCAGGTGAACTGATATACGCACATAGAAGTGGCCAGATGCGGGATCTTGTCCCTGAGGCTGCTGCAGATCAGTGGGCGACTGGAGAACAATATTCTTAGCGTTGCTGCAAAGAATGTTCTTCCCAGAGATGATATGATCCTTCTCTTGAGAATGACGAGAAAGGATTAGCAGGAAGTAAGGAAGGCTGGGGACGAACCAACCAAGAATCTGTTGGCTGACGAATATTTGGTGTAAAATGGAGATAGATGGGACAGACGTTAAGGAGGAGGGTTAAGCAACACAGCGGGCCAGAATAGCCGTCAACGGGGATGTGGATGGAGCACAACGAGTTGGGCATGTGTCAGATTGTGACATGGAGAAGGAAAATGACAGCCTATGGGTGGTAATCGTGGAAACAGGGAAAGAAGACTGTGGAGATGAAGAAAAAATGGAGATGTGTTGTTGAAACTCTGTGTCCCACTTGGAACCAAATGAAATAATAATAATAGATCGCCAGTTCCTAAGTTTCGGTACTTTAGGGAGTATTTATTTGTTTGTTCATGCTCAGTTACCCGGTACAGCTGTTGAAGGTTGATGATACTGTTAAATTTCCCATGTCAAAGTAGGTGATGAAGGGGTCGAACCCATGACATATCTACTGAAAACTAAATGCTTAAACTAATAATGAACCACCTTTTCACTCTAAAGGTTGTACGTGAAACTGTGGCCTTTTTTTATACTGATTAGTTGACTTTAAGTTATTGTCGGGTTATTACACCACTTTATTATCTGTAGTTTGAACATACAAGTAAACACATCTGTATATATATACTGTCTAACCTATGTGTGAAACGTATTCAGAGGAAAATGGGGATGGATGCTTTGGACATACACGCCACTGAGGAAGCCTTCGAATGACATCACGCACAATGCATGGCCATCGCTCAAGTGGAACTCGAATGAGAAGTGAGGTTGACATGGAGCAGATGGTGTGTTGGGGAAGATAAGATGAGAGATTATGGGCAGTTGTGGCCCCAGCTAGCTGAAGAGCACAGCGGAAAATAGAAGAACAAAGTGAAGATGCATTGTTGAAGCCCTCCCTATGTTCCACCTGGAACCCAGTGGATCATAATGATGATAATCATACTGCTTACAAAGATAACTGTTGTGGTTTCTCTGTCGACTGATAGTCTCTTTTTTCTGTTGTTCCCCACCTCCAATAAACTTCGCTTTATTCTTCTTCTTTTTCTTCTAAAATAGATTTCATGCCGTACTTTGGCCTGCTTTACTTATGGCTACTGATCTTCCCTTACCGAAACGCCTTATATGCCATCATCATTTACTTGTTGAGAATATTAAGGTAACTTTATAAATAATAGTAATAATGAATTTTATTAAATTTTTATTCGAATAATGACTAATGTTTCGATTGTATATATTAGTCGTTAATTTGAACTGGAATTCTTGATGTGGTGTGTTTAATCCTGTTTTAAGGCTATTTAATTAGATCTGATTGTGTATCCCAGTGAATTTGTTCTTGTCTCCCTTCAACACTCTCTTCTCAGTTTGTCTTCAATCCATCTCTATTTTCTAGGTGGTAAGTTTTTCAAGAGTTCGTTTGCAAGGATTAAATTTGTTTTTGCAAGTTCGACTACAGATTGATATCAGTTAGAGAATCATTAGAAACCAGCTAGGGAGTACTGGACAGCTGTTTCATCAGCCTAGTTTTGGGAATCATCGGCAGTACGCACCCGCCACAGAGGGCTCGAACCCATGACCTTCCGGTTACCACTGCATGAATTCTAACTTCTACGAATTCGTGATTTAGCACGACTGGCACCAACCAATGTCATAGGTGGGACATCCATCCTCACACTTGACTGGACGAATCTCACTGGTCACGACTTCGCACTAGAACTGCCGGAAACTCTGTCCTGTAGGAAGTCACTAGTGAGTCTTGTAACCGGGATCTCCTGGGTTCGAACCCCAGTGGGTGCGCACTGATGATGATTCTCAAACTAGGCTGATGAAACAACTGTCTGGTAAGTTTTTCGTTGATTCGTTGCCAGTCAGAGTTCCTTATCGTTTATCCTTTCCTGACCAGCCATCTTGATCTTCATTATATGAAGTAAGGTAGCTGTTGAATAAAAGTCTGCATTAGCTTGTTCGACAGGCTTTTGGATGAGTTGTACGCCAAGTCTCTGAACCACAAGGGGGGGGGGGTAAACACTGACTTAACATTAGTCTTGAACACAATCGGAATCGTTTTCGTTATTATTCTGGACGCTGAAGATTTTAGAAACTGATTTCACATCAATGAAGATCTATTGTGCTTTTCCAGCTCTGGTTTCACCATCGTCATTCATGCTGCTTGCACTTGAAACGATGCTGCTTAGTGAGATAAGTCGAAGAACCGATTTCGTCTAGACTTCTCCTGTTGATGGTGATTGGTGCTTGTCGCTGTTGGGTAGGAACCGGAAATACTATTCGGAATAAGGCAGCAATTTACGTTAATGTTACGTCCCGAATCGGGGTCATGAGAAAAAAAACAATAACAAAGCTTAACCTTGAAGTACTGACCAACCAATCACAGCAGACTTAACGTCTGCAATAAAATTCGCAGATATATGGCTTAGCTTTTTGAGAAACGGTCACAAAAAATACAGAATAACCTTCAGCAAGAAAACAGCCAATCAGAAAACGTTGTTTCTCCTCTGACAATAATGTACATAAAAATCTATAAATATTTCTTTTGATTTTCCGAATAAACGATCTGTTCTGCCTGACCCTTGTCGTTTGTTGTTACAAAACTATTGGATCATGCGAATTATTAAAGTGACGGTTAATGGCAGTGAAGAAAATTCTCTTTTCGACGAAGTCAGCGTCAACTAGGAGACTGTACATTCGTATATTTATAGTAGTAAATGTGTGGGAGAGAGTTTCACAACGGTATCCGGTCAAAGGTTCAATGAATAAAATTACAAAGTTTAATAATAAGGAAGATCGGGTAGAAAAGGCATAATAAGATGATCATAATTTCATATAATGACTCCTTTTTATAACTTTGAACAAATAAGGAGAAACATCGGCGCAGAGTGATCTGGATCCATTTTATTTCGTCGGTTCTCATCAGCTGCGGACAATCTGAATTCTTTAATAAAATAAAAATAAAAAGTGTACAATTTCAACAAACTTTTTTGTCGATTAGCAAGCATATTGTCAGAGCGACATAGTGAAATAAGGCGTTGCGACTTACAAGGTGTCTAAAGTGTTACGACACGTGTATATATATATCTTGTTAGAGAGAAGTTTCTTGAAAAAAATTAATTAACAGTTATGTTGTTGGGGTGGTAACACAAGATCTATCGAATAAAAAAAACCGCATTGAAAAATATTACCCCGTTGAAAAGTTGTGAAGAAAAGATTGAATTTCCCATAGGATCCTATAGAAATCCTATAGGATTGCTGTGGCGGTTATGTCCAAATTTCACAAAAGTTAAAATATCCACGAAACGAAGAGAGTTTGTTCTATGTTTAAAGTCGAACAACGGATTCTTTTTGGACACAAGTCAGGCTTCAATCGTTTTATTGTTATAGCTTCAGAAAACCTGAGAAGACTTGAGGTACTTTGTCTCTTAATTATTTTGAATGATTTGAGCACATGTACTCGGTGTCCTGTGTCAATCAGGTGTTTAGCGATTGAAGAGCTTAAACAATTCGGACCCGTTAACCGGAGGCTCCTTGGTACATGTTCGCAGAATCTGACGTAGGCCCTCCTCTCTGTTCTTCCAATGTAACTGCTCCGGCAGATACATTTGAATTGGTATACACAGTTGGAGGTAACATATGAGGGGTACTTGTCAATCTTTGACTGCACCAGTGAAGAGGTTGTTCGAGATAGAGAGACTAATAACGCTGCAGGAAGGATACGTCCTAGATAGGGCTGCGCTTTATCTTTTATTTACGATTCTCATGATGTCGTCGCCTTTATAGTCAAGTTTGATGAAAATAGGTTTCTTACTGATTGTAGTTGTATCAAGCTTCTTGAGTTCATTCTTGTCATATTTGTTAATGAAACTTTGTGGGTAACCATTTCCTTTCAAGCATTTTTCAAGAAGCATTAGTTCACTGTCTAGTTTGTTTGGTGAACATATTCTCTTCGCTGTCATAACACTTTAAACACCTTGTAAATCACTATGACGCCCTGACAATATGCTTGCTAATGGATAAAAGTTTGTTAAAATTATACACTTTATTTTTATTTTATTAAAGAATTCAGGTTGTGGGCAGCTGATGAGAACCGACGAAATAAAATGGATCCAGATTATTCTTCGCCAATGCTTCTTCTTTCTTTGTTCGAATGGTTATAATTACTGAGAAACTTGACTGTTTGTAGAATTACAGATTCAAGATGTAGTAAAAATAAAAAAGGTATGAGGTATAAGTAAAAAACAGCCACCGAGTCTAGTAATGCAGATAGGAATTAAAAACGTAAAAATAATAGAAAGAAACAGGAAGTTTGGTTGAGAAAGATGGCAGTAAGATAATCATTATTGATCGGAGTGAGTTTTCATGATGACCACGGTAGGCAGGGACAACAGTTAAACGTATTTCATTTGAATGCAAGGTGTTGGGCTTGAACTTTTGGATCGCTAGTGCCTTAGCTATTCCCCGATGCCGGTTGTAAGTCTGACAAAGGGGGAAAGTTGGGCGTGAGTCTGTGTTCCACTGCGAAGATTTCGTGACATATCGATTAACACTGAATTTTTCACTCGAATCGTTTTGTTTTCCTAATTTTCATCTTGGTTTTTTCTGTCGCTCATGTAGATGTCTAAGAGTAAAGGTAATCATATTGATCCAATGACTGAACAATACGATTTATTATCATCACAAGAAGTAAAGAATCTAACCCCAGCTGAATCCGATGTCTTACGATATGTTCTATTACGTCAACCATTACTTTCATTCGATGGATCGTATAATCGAGAAATGGCAAAAAAGCTAGTGAATACAGAACTTGTCAATTGGATTGGTAATCTACTTTCTCGGTATGTAAGATGACGTTGATGATGAAATACTGTTAAATTGTTACTTGTTACTATGGTAACCTATTTAATAGTGTTGTCAAGTGATTGTTGTTTTAAAAACTTCATTCAATTCTTCCCATGAATAAAATTGAACAAAGCAAGAACAACAATTGTACCAGAAGATAATATGAGCTCATCTTTTCTTATTTCGAGGATTCTTCTCAACTGGTTACAAACTGAACGATAAAAAATATGAATTACATTAAAGATTTGAGCATACTTTTCCACGATCATAAGGAGTAATTGGTAGGAATTAAAAGTAACATTAGTCCGGAATAATTTAACTGATTAGGAGTTACAAACACTGACTATTTATAGAATAATTAGACAATTAGGCTTGGAAACAAAACAACAGGGTTGCATATATATATGTGTGTATAGAAACAAGGTTTAGCTAGAAAGAGCATAACAAAAAAGCAGATTACGTAACTAAATAAGACGTTTTACCTAATAACCAATGTTCATATGAGAGAGTAGAGTTTTCTAAACATGAAAAAAGGTGACTCATGAAAGTTGTATATATATATATTTTTTGTTATCACCAGGGCAGTGCAAGATTCACCACTGTCTCTTTCTGCGTAGATAGATTTGGTTTAAGTCGTCTGATAGCAATTACTTCAGCAAAGCTTAGCAAGCTAGGTTTCTTTTGCTTGTTGATTATTTTGAACAACTTCAGGTTGTCTACAATATGACCAGTGTCCAATTGATGACGACCAATCGCACTGTTTAATGCTTGCTTGTGGACCTTTCAGTCTCACGTTATTTGGTATGTGTTCATAAATGCGGACACTAACCCTTTCCTTCTGTTCTTTCAATGTATGTGCTTTGGCACATACATGTAAAACAAGCAATAAATGTTAATAAAGCAGGATTTAATGAATTCATCAAATTTCGGTAGAACTCGTCAGCTGAATACTCTACATACACGGATATATATATACTTTTGAAATTACATTGGGAGATATAAGACTAATAAGTAAACAAACTACATGGAATTAGTCATGCAGAAAGACACGTACGAATGTTTTCCAGGTCATGTTCAAACTTATGGGGCTACATGCCACGTCCAGTGACAGCGAAAGCTGGTTGAAAGCAAAGATGGTTGATATTGCTCATCAATTTCGAGTCATGCCGACCAATCAAAAGTCGCATATCACCAAAGAACACTGGATATCTTTAAACAAGCTCCGAAAAGACAAAAATCTTGTTATCTTACAAGCTGATAAAGGACAAAGTGTAGTGCTAATGAACAAGATAGATTATCTCGAAAAAATGCATCAAATTCTCTCTGATGAATCTAAATTCAAATTGGATAACCATGCAAAAGACCAAACGTTATCAACCGAAAGGAAAATTGTGCAGCATCTACGACAACTCTTCAAAAATAAATACATAGACGAAAACACATATAGAAATATCAAACCGATTGGGTCACAAATCCCAAAACTATACGGACGCGTAAAAATACACAAACCAGGAGCGCCGTTAAGACCCATACTCTCTATGATAAACTCACCGTACCACAGATTAGCACAGTGGCTATGTGAACTGTTGCAGCCCTTGCTGAAACGTTTCGGAACACATATAGTCTCTGATTCATTTCAATTTGTCAATCAAATTAAAGATTTCAATGTATCCGATAAGCATTTGGTCTCTTTCGATGTTACCTCCCTTTTCACAAATGTGCCAGTCGTTGAGACTATCGACTTCATATGTAAAGAAGCTGAAGACATACCCATTCCAACATCGGAATTGAGGAAATTACTACTTTTATGTACTAAAAATGTCCAATTCCAATTCAACGGGCGTCTGTTCCGTCAAGTTGATGGTGTCGCAATGGGAAGCCCTTTGGGACCACTTTTCGCCGACTTATTCCTGTCACGCCTAGAAACCGGTACTTTGCAGCAACATATACAAGAAACAAATGTATACCTAAGATATGTTGATGACATTTTTATTGTCTGTGAAAGCAGATCAAAAGCGGAAGACATGTTGATAAAATTCAATTCATGCCATCCAAATCTCAATTTCACAGTAGAACACGAGGAAAACGATACTATGAAATTCCTAGACGTTTTTCTAGCCAAAATGAATGATGGCACAATCGAAAGATCTATATTTAGAAAGTCTTCATGGACAGGACAGTACATGCATTTCAAGAGCTTTGTTCCAATCCAGTACAAAAAGAACTTAGTCAGAACACTGTTCAATAGAGCACGAAAAAATTGTTCTGACAGTACTATTGAGTATGAAATAAAATCTCTGAAGGATATTTTATCTAAGAATGGATATCCTGAGAAGTTCATTAATAAATACTCTCTAGAAACTAGCCCCTACAAAACAATTCAAACAGTTCCAAAGAAACCTGTCTATATTAGTTCACCATTCAAAGGAGATGACGTACAGGAAGTAGTGAAACGAAGACTCGACAAAGCCATCAAGAGAACTTATTATGCTGCAAAACTTGTTATCCTTAACACCACCAAGCGAGTGCTTCAACAATCTGGGAAAGACCAGTCGCCAATCCTCGACACTTCAAACTGCATATATCAATTTGAGTGTGTTTGTGGCAGCAAATACATAGGTCGTACGGAAAGGCGATTGTCTACTCGCATGATGGAGCATTTGCCAAAATGGTTGAAAACAGCTGAGTGCAAAGTGCCAAAATCCTCAATAACAAAACATCTTGTAGATTACGGACATGATATCGACGCGGTCAAGTCATTCACCATTGTCAGCAAACAAAGAAACAAGAAGATGCTTGCAATTGCAGAGGCTTGTGCAATTCGAATTTATAAACCAGCTCTCTGTATACAAAAGGAGATGGTCGTGACTCGGAATCTACCATGGTAATACGTTTTACTTATTATTCTCTACTTGCTATTACTATTATTCTACCTCTTCTTCTTCTTATTGTTATTATTATCATTATTATTATTCTTGATTCATTTAAAACTATGCTTTATCAGTAAGATTATCTTAACTCACTTCAACACTATTATTATTATAACTATTACTATTTATATTAGTCTGTTTGCAATTTTTGTTATATTCATTAGTGACTAATTGTTTATCTAAGTGATGTAATTGAAGCGTAATGCAATTTATCTTAATTTTGATCTCTCATACTCTCTCTCCCCTCATCTATTTGAACATGACCTGGAAAACATTCGTACGTGTCTTTCTGCATGACTAATTCCATGTAGTTTGTTTACTTATTAGTCTTATATCTCCCAATGTAATTTCAAAAGTATATATATCCGTGTATGTAGAGTATTCAGCTGACGAGTTCTACCGAAATTTGATGAATTCATTAAATCCTGCTTTATTAACATTTATTGCTTGTTTTAAATTCGTATCGGGAAATAATTGTTTTCAATTCCGAAAGAAACATACATGTAAATTGGTAGACACATTTGGAGGTAACATGAGGTGGGTATTTGTCCACTTTTGACTGTCTCAAACAACTAGTTGTTTGATAAACACATACAAGCTTGGCGGTTGGATGTGTTTTTTTCAGGGCAGCGTTCAAGTCTGCATCTTATTCTACCAGCAGTATCATTACCTTTGAATGCAAGCTGCAGAAAGATAGGCTTTTTATCTACTGTACTGCTTTTCACTTTTTCAACATGACGTCTCCCATACTTGTCGATGAACTTTTGTGGGTAACCGTTGTCGCGTAGGCATTTCTCCACAATGGATAGCTCTTCCTCAATCTTTTCTTTTGAACACAGTTTCCTCACACGATCAAATAATGTTCTCACCACTAATTGTTGTCGTCACCAATTGTTGTTTTCGTGAAGCATTATACTTCAAAGACTAAAGTGATCCTAGTAAACTGCATCATCGGTATACTGTCCTCTGGATCCATATGAAGAACAAGGAAAGATTGTTTCTTTATACATTGATGTTATTCCTGAGTCTCCCGCCTTTACGTCCACTGACTGCATTTCAAACAAAGGTGGTTCAGTGTGTTTGGCGAAAAAAAGCAGAACTCTGAGATGTAACCATATGGTTTTAATGCTGGAGTTAACGGGGATTGGAAGAAGTGCCTATTGTGGTGAGTTTCATGCTCCGATAAACTCTCATCATTGGGAGAACAGAAAGAAGAGCGCACCTTCGATTTTCTGAACATGTACCAAAAATGTCTACGTCTCAAGGAAACAAACGCTTGCTACAATAGTGCCATTACCAGGTATCTCCTTGATTGGTACCGGGTCATAAGGTGGAAATCGCGAAATCTTTTAAAATTATCAATAGACGAAAAAGCTCATTTCTACTCAGGTTTGCTGAAGTAGTCTTTATTAAACACCTGAAACGCAACTTATGCGTTCAGAAAGAAGTTGGTACTAGTCTTTCCTTGCCCCTGTCTTAACCTCTCCTGCTTTTTTATATAATGTAATTTTACTTGTCTCTTGTTTCTGTGATTTGAGTTGAACTCAAATTTGTTAATTTAATTGGTAGTAGAATCCAGGATAAAGTGCTTTTAATCCTATTTGTGACTGGCTCGTCATCTGGAGGTGCATACATTCCCCTGTGAGTCAGTGATGATGTTCCCACAGAGGCTCGAAGCCACAGTTTCAAACGTCAAAGCGTTATTCATTAAACCGAGCACTTGGGTCCAATCAATAGACGGGAAAATCTAAAATTGAATTAAACAATTAATATTACCCGTTGCACAAGAGGTGGCTCTCGTGGCCCAAGTGGTCTAGTGGATAATGCTTTGCCGTTTGAAACTATGGACTCTGGGTTCGAACCTCGGTGGTAACACCATCACTGACTCACTGGGTAATGCAGGTACATCCAGATGACGAGCCAGTCCCAAATAGGACGAAATGCGCTATATCCTGTATTCCACTGCTAGTCACCATCCAACGATTCACTTCTAATTAAATGCCCAGATGTCATCGAAACATCTGGACAAGAAGTCTTCATGTCAATCTGAGACCGGGCACTTCGGTCCAATCAATCAATGGACGAGAAAACCTAAAATTCAATGAAATTTGTTAGTTGTTCATCATCTTACTCACCTCTAGTCATTATTACATAACTCCTTTACCATTGTATGCATACATTTACTTTGTTTAAACTTGAACTCCCTGTGTGTAAAAACTATGTATTCAAGTGTTGGTTTGCAGGGATTTGGTTGGTTTCAGGATTTCATCATGGACTGATGTCGGTTAGGGAATCATCGGAAAGCACCACTGGAGTACTGGATAGCCAACTGCTTTGTCAGCCTAGCGTGGGACTTTTCAGAAGTACGTACCCACTGCCAAATTTCGAACACAGGACCAGATCCAGTAACCAGCCAATGAATTCCAACTTCTACAAATTCACGCACGACATAGCGTGACCGGCACTAGCCAATGTCATCTCTGGCGACTATTCGTCCTCACATCCGACCTGCTTTACCCCACTGGTTGGTCACGACTTCTCATTATAACAGAACCGAAGTAACTACCTACCTGAATAAGGCCAGTCACCAGTGTGAGGACCACTACTCACCGATCGCATTCACTAGTGGTCACGCCATATAACAGAAGTTGGAATTCATAGACCGTTGGATCGGGTCCCTGTGGATTTAATGGTCTACGAGCTAGCTCACCTTGTAACCAGAAGGTGTTGGGTTCGGAACTCAGTGGTTTGCATGACTACCGATAAAGAGTCGCATACTAGGTTGACGAAACAGTTGGCTTTCCAGCACTCGAGTGCCGGTTTCCAATGGTTCTCTAACCGATGTCACTTCATAATGAAATCCTAAAATCTATATTAGTGTAATTTTATGAGCGCTGTTCATTAAGTTTAGAACCTTCTGTCAACTGATATCATGTAAAATTTGCAAGTATGTTAATACTTATCTACGCCTAAACCTAACTTAGTAATTTACTTGGGCTGTAAGCAGCTGATGAGAAGCCAACGGAATGAGCAGTAATGGTACCATATTATTCTGCACAAACCACTGTTTTTCTTGCTTCATTCAAATCCCAGGTGTTTACTAAACATATTTCAATACAAATCATGAGGTCACCGACTTCTAATCGTACCCACGTATGGAAGTATCGGTTGTGTTTCACCGTGGTACTGAAAACTGCTAAAAGTCAATTATTGTAGACTCTTGTGGACATGTGCCAGTATCATACAGAAAACGTGGACATATTTTGCTCTTTATGGCTTTGTGTTTTTACTAGGTACATACTGAAAAGAACTACACATCTGATAAGAGTAGTTCTCATAGTGTTTGAGTTCAGGAATTTACGTCATCTAGAGGGTTGTAAAACGAAAAAAAATACAACAACAAAAGAGGGATGAACTGGTTGTTTCAGTTTTGTGAAGGGAATGTAGAGAAAAATTACATCACCCATTCACTGATCAACAAGACACTCTACTCGAAGTTATACAGCCAGCTAGAAGAGAGCCTATGGTGAGTTGTCATTTGAACTGGTGGCAACAACCAGTGGTGTCTGTCAGGGTGGATGTCCACTGTCCCCATTTCTCTTTAATTTCATCCTAGATGCATGGATGGTAATGGACTTAACCCTAACTGACTTCAGCGACTTGTTAGCACCAGGGTATAGTAGTCTCATAGACTTATAATATGCCTTTGATGTAGTCCTTCTAGGTGAATAGGCTGACAAAATAGAGCGGAGTCTCTGAACACCTTGAGCAGTGAGCAATCTCCGAATGTTTGGCAAGTGATTCGCCCCTTCTGTCAAATGTAAGATGATGTTATGTTACGGAATTGGACTGGACTACATTGACCCACTCCTAGCTGAAAGATAGTCAGGAGTAGTGAAGTGTTTGACGGAGCGTGTTGACCACTTCACTTATTTGGGGGGGGGAGTTGTATCAGCCAGCGCTAACTACGCAATTGGTTCGGGATTCGATCCACAGCCGATGCACTCCCTTACCTCGCTAAGCCAGTAGTAAGATTGGTAAAGACAAAAGGTTGGGCCCGAGGTGGCTAGCAACCCCAACCCGTAAAAATAAACACCATTACTGCTACAGAAACATCAAAGTTCTAGCTTGAAGCCTTATGTTCCACTGGGAATGTGAAGGAATAAAAAGGATAAGCCAGCGCCAACGGACTGATTGATGACGAAATCTGAGTAGGCGTACAAAAGGCTGTTTCGGCATGCGCCAACTTACGCTATCTCTGCGCTAACCAATTTATATATGTGTGCGTGTGTGTGTGTGTGTGTGGTCGCACGTAGAGATGGGAAGGACCAATTGATCTCTGCAGGTCAGATTGGAGATGTTGGAAAGTACATCACTTAGGTGCGTCATTAATCTGAATTTTAATATTGCCTTTAAGCTCGTATACAAAAGAGAGTTTTGTCATGTACCTAGATTCATTGAGGTTTAAAATTTTTCAAGGTTTACGGGAGGCTAGTTAGTGATAAGGAAATAATAATATTAATAATGCCATCTCCGAAAAGCCATTACAATTTCGTTTTTCTATTCTCATTCTTTTTTTTTTGTAGCATCACTTCTGAAGCACTTAACCCTGAACAGTCTATTATCCAGTTGGATCGTAAAGATGTCGACGACATTTTCTCTCATGATGAATTGGATGCTGATTTCCTCAACAGGTTAGTCATAATATAGTTGTTTTTTTTCTATACTCTGTATTGTAGTTGGTTGTTTTTCAGCATTCTATATAACACCACCCTTGGGTTCTAAGTAGGCGTCAACCACACATCTACACTTTGTTCCACTTCTTTGCTGTCCTCTTTAACTGGGTATACGATTACCCAAAGTCTCTCATCTCTCCTCCTTGCAATGACGACCCACTCGTCGTTTCCCCATGCGGATTCCAGTCAAAAGCCTGGCACACAATGTTATTCGACGATCTCCTCCTCCTCAGTGGTGTGTGCCTAATTCATCTCCACTTTCTCCTACATATTTGTTGAACTGTTTGGTTAGTTTGTTCCCAGTCAGAGTTTCATGTTGCTAATTCTTTCTGGCCCCGCCAGTAATTTGATCCTCAATTAGGAGTCAGTGAAAGGGGCAGGTTGTTGATAAAAGTCTGAAACAAGTTGTTGAAATTCATTTTCGTGACATGCAAAGTTTCTCACGCGTATAGAAGAACTGACTGACTGGCTGACTTCATATTTCTGTTGAATAGATTCCCAATCTTGTTCTGTATGCTGGCTGAGTGAAGCAGAAGATTTCCAAACTGATTTCAGACTATTGATATAAGGATAAAACTTGGGCACTGTTGTGGTAGAGTATAACTTCATTATAGATAAGATTTTATATTGATAAATCACACAGTGAGTGTAGTGTTATACAGTAATATTAACTGATGACCACGTTTCGAGCACAATTTATTACTGCGGCTCTTAATTCATATCAAGCGATTACTTACACAACTTTCTTGCTTCATTTATATACATGAATGGAGTTGATGATTATATATTGGAATAAAAATCTATCTACGATAATGTACATTCAGATGTAATAATATTGATCAGGTTATTGATCAGTTACAATCAGATGGGAAATAAGTCGAGTGTTTTTATAGTCATTAGTAATAAGTAACTTGTTAGAATGCTGGGATGATGTACGTGAATTGAATTGAAATAGAATTTTGAGATTATTTATTATCCTCTTCTGATTCGACTGACTGACTGGTGGTAACAACATCTCCCATATTTCTGGTATTTGCATTGAGTTATTTCTGTTGCATGTGTTTTGTTGGGTGTAGACTCGATGAACCAAGCAGGATTCAGTAATCAACCTGTGTCTTTCTCCATCTACCTATATTACCTTTTAGAATTTTGGCTTTGTCCCACCCTATTGTGTGGTTGTATGTTATTGCATGTAGTGCGCTGAGCTTTTCTCGAAATTTTTTGTCTTCTCGGGTGGGGTCAACCCATTCTAACCTTAGCTAAATTTTAATATTCCAACAATCTGGCCGTCCCCCGACCTACTAGTTTCACCTATGTTTCAGACTCATGAAGACGTATCTTGCTTGCCTTTCCAATTCTGACTGGCTGGTTGGCTGGCTGACCTTGACAACTTCATCCGTTCCGTGTGCTTGCAGTTGATACAATGCTTCTTCTTAGCCAGATAAATAAAGACAGGAAGTTAACCTCTGTCAAATCTATCCCTTCCGTTACTTACTTACTTTACTTTACTTCGGCTATCTCCTACGAGAGGATGAGCCGGCTTCATGAACATCTCGAATCATCGCTGCCCAGGCGCGGCGATCTGATGCAAGGTTTTGCGACAAGGTTATCCAATTCTTGTTCCACAGGCGGAGTCCGTAGACGGTTTGGAGCCCCAGACACTCCATATCAGCCTTGACTGTACCAAGCCATGTTTTCAGCTGTCCACCCCTGCGACATCGCCAAGATGGAAATGGCGAGGGATTTAGAACTGATTTGACCAGATCGTCATCTGGTCGGCGCAGAACATGGCCAAACCACCGAAGGCGACGTTGTTGGACCAGTAGTGGAATCTGGTTGATGTTGTAGAGAGTTCATGAAGTTTCATGGGAATTAGGTACGAGTGATGTCCCCAGCATCGCTCGGCCTTTTGTTTGAGAGTGCAGCTTCAGCCTTTACACAACCAAGTGTGACCTACAAGGCAGTAGGAGTGGAGTAGGGAGTCCATTATCCATTGGCAGCCGGTGACCGGAGTCCGGTTTATACGCCTTTTTGAATGGGGCCAGACATCCAGGGCATCCAATAAGCCCTCTGTCCATACGTCTGCCGATGAGCTCCGATGAGCTTCATACGCCAGTCGTTGGAGGTTTGGAATCAGGGTTTAGCCATCTCCCCTAGACTGTCATCCAATGGACAGTCAACCCGTTGAAGAGCGCCGGGCATCCGCTTTTGCCCTCTCACTTCGGTTGATGGTGATAGGTGCTGGTTGTTGTTGTCGCAGGTCGATGGTTAGTTATCTTCATCCCCTCCGTCTTCTCTATGTTCACCCGGAGTCTTGTCTTCGCTGCCTGCCTGCCTGCTTCATCAGCCAGTTTAGCTGGTTTTCTCCTGGAAGTCTTCGAGTCTGTGTGTGCGTGTTTTAATAAACATAAATCATCCAGTCGCTAAATCCAGATCTTCTAGAGTCTTCTTATCGGTCAAATGCAGCATATTCGTATCTTCTCACTCCCTACAGTCTGGCATACTTCCACTAAACTCTTCTTAACTTCATGACTGAATTCCCTAGGCGATAGTTATCTTCAAATCTCGGTACACTGAATTGGGATTGCTAACATGTGTGTGTTTAATCTGTGTCATAGATTTCTGTTTAATTATTTACAAACACCGGATATTGAATCATTTCAGGTAGTCAATTTCACTTTCAGACATAAACGTGACCTACAGCGACTAGTTAGCTCACATGGCCCCACTATCATTGACGGCATAGAGGTTGAAAATACATCTAATGTCAAGCACCTTGGGCTGAGTTTTTCCACCGATCTTTCCTGGTCCTTCCACATCTTTCTAGTTACTAGAAAGATATTTCACTTAACGTTCTATGTTAGGAAGTTAAGGCAGTCTGGTATAAAGCAGTCTTTACTTTCTCAGTTTGTCAATTCTTGTATTCTACCCATCCTCCTTTACTGCTCCCCATTAATCTTTCCTGGACTACTTAAGAAAGATTTTCCTTTGCTGAGAAGGGCGCTAAAAGCCGTTAGTAGGACAAGTGGGATATCGTTGAACCAACTGGTTAATACTATTGTGGATAGACATATAATGTAATGTAAGAAACTAGCGAATACAATATTGTCTGACCCCGAGCATCCTCTCTGTACTCAGCTCTCTATTTGCATTTCATCTGGTAGAACTAGAAGCAGTTATAGGAGGCTATATGCCAGGACTACCAAGTACAAAAACTCCACAATACCGTATCTGGCACAGCTGTTATATGATGAGAAATCCGTTAGGTATGACACAATCAACTTACTGCGGCACTCTAACAAATAGTCCCATTAGTTTTTGTTTTCCTTTCCTCGTTACTATTACACTATTGTTGTTCACATCTTCTATTACACACCAATTTTATATTTCATATCCTGTGGTGCATTGTTTGAAATGTAAACTCTACGCTGTTTTTCTGTTTTTAAATTTTTATTTATCTTTTATTTTTTTGGCGTTGGTTTTTTCATTTATTTATTTTTTCATTTTAAAAGTCTTATAAAATTTATGAGGTAATTAGATGCAATATATTGTAATTCACGCTGACAATTCCATACCTGTACCACAAATACCGTTTAGAATAAAGTTGTTAATATTATTAAATATTTTTTTCCTTCACGTTCCCAGTGGAACATAGGGGGCTTCAAGCTAGTGGCTTGAAGTTTCGATAGCAGTGGTGATTATTTTTACAGGATGGGGTTGCTAGCCTCATGTCAAAGCTCTCCTCCTCTTTACCAGCATTATTTCTGGCTTAGCGAGGTAAAGGAGTACAGCGTCGCCCAAGGATTGAACTCCAGACCATGTGCATGGTCGACGAGCGTCCTAACCTCTGTGCCACCGACGCAAGAAATATTTACACTATATTTTTTGTTGAACGTTTATTGGAATATAAGCATAGGAATTATGAAAAAGACGGTTACTGGCAGCGAGGAAGAAAATTTCCTTCTTCGACGAAGTCACCGTCAACTACAGGGCTGTACATTCGTGTATTTATAGCAGTGAATGTGTGGGAGAAAGTTCCAGAATTATTTCCAGTCAAAGGTCAGATTAATAAAATTACCGAGTGTGGTAAACAGAAGATAGGTAGTAGGGTACTATTCTAGAAATATTTCCGGTCAGAGGTCAGATTGTGATTATGATTACTAGTTAACTAGTCAGTTTGTGTAATTACAGGTTAAGGACGTAGTAGTATTAACGAAACGGGTAGGAGGTTCGGACATATACAAATAAAAACAGTAATCAAATCTAATAATGCAGATAGGGATTTAAAAAGGGTAAATATGACAGAAATAAACAGGAAGGTTGGACAAGCAAGGTGGTAATGGGATAATCACTATTGGTGAGACTGACTTTCCTTGATGGCCACGGTAGGGACAACGGTTGAACGTATTTCTTTTGGACACATAGAATAGACTTGAGTTTTAGGATCTCCAGTGCCTACCTCAGATATTCCTAGATGTCTTGATTTCATTCCCTTTGGTAGGTTGGATCGGATCTTATATATAGCTTTGAAGGACTTTTCAAACGGGACTGAATGTCCAGAATTCACCAGATGCTCTGTTATCGAACTGCGTACCCCTTTGAGTTCTCGCTTTCCTAGCCATGCTGCATGGTGTTCCCGCGTGTGTTTTACAAGCAGACGCATGGTACGGCCAATGTACTCAGCTCCACACCAGCAAGTGAACTTGTATATGCATGTTGAAGTGATCCAATGCGACGGCTTGTCTTTCACGTGCTGGGTGAGTAGTTTCTTGCAAGGGAATGTTATTCGTAGGCTGGCGGCGAAGTATGTTTTACTGAGACACGTCGAAAGCCGTCTGCGGAGAATTTCTGTTTTGCTATCACTTTTAGATTCAAGGTTCAATATCAGCATCTTTTTTTAAAGGGTGGGTGAGACTTGGACCTATTCAGGTGTTTTCCTTGGTTTTAGATTCTTGTCTGTGAATCTCGATGGGAATCCATTTTCATTCAAGGTCTCTTGGAGATTTTATAATTCTTCATCGATTGAGTCTTCAGTTTCTGGAGGAACGAGAGTATATTAGGCTTCTCTTTCTCTCTTCGAGGCACATAACTTTGAAAGTGAATAAACTGTCCGTTCCATATGGGTTTCTTGCAGATGGATCTTCTTATCGAGTTGTCTGCATGATTAGATTTGGTTACTGTTTTTATTTTTATATATCCGACCCTACCTACCTATTTCGTTAATACTACTACATCCTTAACTCATAGTTATACAAACTGACTAGTTTTCTAACAATTATAATCCTATTTTGTCTTTTCTACCCGATCTTCCTGATTATTACACATTGTAATTTTTAATTTGACCTATGACCTGAAATACTTCTAGAATAGTACCACTACCTATCTATCTTCTGTTAATTAAGAACACAATATTCAGCGGAAACTCTTCAACGAATTTATTATCAAGCTGTACAGTCGTATATCTATGGCTTTCCTTAAGAAATTATATCCGGTGAGGGAATTAGGTCAAAGGTGTGAATACATGAAATAATAATAGTGGCAGTATGAAATCCAATTAAAATATTTGATTATAATCATAGTTAAATGTCAAGTAGCAAAACAATTAATGTCATATGTAGAATAATACATAAGGTGTATAGATTTTGGAAAGAGGTGCATAATTATAAAATTAGTAGACGAATATAAAATGTTACATAACATGGTGTGAAATTTGATAGGACAGAATTCAATATTCTAAAAATAAAAAGTATACAAATTAATAATTTTGGGTTTAAAATGTCAAGTGGAAAAGATTCAGAGTGAGAATAGTAGTAATAATAATAATAATAAAAATAATCGAAGTAATAGGGGAAAAGTACATAGAATAACTAAATAAATAAAATAAATAAATGTCTATCCCTCTACGGCCAAGGCAGAAGTAGGCATTGTACGTACTTCTTTTGTACACAAAGGTCTGGCTTAAAGTCATGAATTGCCAAGGCCTCAGCTGTCTTTAGAAGTCTATAACGAAGAAAACGTGGGAAGTTAGCTTGGATTCCATATATGATCTTGAAATCATGGTCAGGGTTGACCGAGTGACAGAAGTCGATCAGGTGTTCCAGAATAGAGCTTCGCACACACTTCCTTTCTCCCCTGTAAAACAATGCTGCTGGAATATGTTCTCGTATCTGTGTGGAAAGCGTCCTCTGACTACGGTCAATGTACCTTGCTCCACAAGAGCAGGTGAACTGATAGATGTACATAGAGGCGGCCAGACGGGGTAGCTTATCTTTTACAGAGGTAGAGAGCAGTTTGCGGCTCGTGAACGTCATATGTAATTTCGCTGGAAAGAACGTCTTACTGAGTGATTTAGAGAGACGAACTTTTGAGCATATCTGAACCTTGATCACCTTTGAGTTACAAGTTCATGAATGAGGTTTTCTTTGGAACTGAGTCGGTGACCAGTTTAGACTGCTTATCTTTCATGTTGTTGTCAATAAATCGGTTAGGGTAACCGTTTTCTGCGAATGTGGCTTTTAAGAAGTCAAGTTCTGAATCAACGCAGTCAGAACTACAAATTTTCATTATCCTAAAGCAGAGTGAATGGATTAGGTTCCTTTTCCTGGAAATAGGCACCCAACTGTAAAAATTAGTTAGTTTTCCGTTCCTTGTACGTTTCCGGTGGATAGATCTTTTGAGAGATCCGTCATTACGTTTGCTGAGGCACACATCAAGAAACGGAATACTTAGTTCAGATTCCTTTTCTATGGTGAATTGTAAAGAAGGATGGCAGTTGTTGAAAGCGAACAAGACATCATCAAGAATTACGTTATTATCGCAGATGACGAAAGTGTCGTCTACGTATCTTTTATAAGTGTCAAAATGACCGATGGTTTGATTAAGTTGAGAATTCTCCAGCTTTGCCACTTGGTAATTTTATTAATCTGACCTCTGACTGGAAATAATTCTGGAACTTTCTCCCACACATTTACTGCTATAAATACACGAATGTACAGCCTCCTAGTTGACGGTGACTTTATCGAAAAGAAAATTTTTGTTCTTCGTTGCCACTAACCGTCATCTTACTAATTTCTATGACCCAATGGAGTGTGAACTTTTTGTCTATGTGTAGCTTATAAACACTTTCTTTTTTATTGTCGTTATCAAGCTTAGAAAGTCTTTCGCATCGTTTTGACAAACTTTGGTGGGATGAATTACAACCGCATAATGCTATTGAAGAGGTATTACGTGTTATCCGCCAGGCAAATGCATTCATTACTCGACATACTCCTTGGAATGAAAAAGACGCGTTGCGAAGACAGTGTATTTTATCAGTTGTTGCAGAAGCACTGAGAATATGCGGATTTCTCCTTCAACCTATTATACCAAATTTATCGCTTCGGTTATTAAACAGACTTGGTGTGTACGCTGATGGTGATGACAAGCAATCAAATGTTTGTGGTAAACTGCGTGTTTTAGGTGAAAGCAGCGAGAAATTTCTTCGTAAATTGTAGTGATTATGTTAGGCATCTTTACAACCTGTGAAATTTTGTATTTATTTTGTAATTGTACATATTTTTTCGATATGACACTGATTTATTTAATATGTTAAATATAATTATAATCTAATTTATTCCAAAACAGACAGTACATATAATACAGAATGGAATTCTCAGCATTTGTCACAACACCTTGCATCTGATTTACTTAAAATATAAATAAAATTAAAAATTAAAACAAAATCAACCAGAGGAATTTGTCCACGTTTACGATATAAAGTCAAAAATATTCGAAGTACTAATTGAGAATATTAATAATTATTAATAATAACAACGGTGAGTTTGTTTCAAACAGTATTGGCGATTCAGTTTGGAAATTTCAGCGTGTTATAGATTATTGAATCTAATGTTCTGCTGATATAGTATGGTGAGGGGAAATACAAAATTAACAGTTATAACAGACAGCTTAAATTATGTTCACACTTATGAAAGAAAATTTGAAAGGATTATAAATATAAGAAGTACAATAACAATAAAGCTTGATGTTGTAAGGGTGGAGGAAATGTTTTATTTAGTAGTGCAAAGAAGGTTAGTTAATTAGTTAGTTGATGCCTAACACTATTTTCATCACATAAAGTACGTGCCGCCAAATATGGTATGGTGGAATTTTTATACTTGGAGGTACGTGCATACAGTCTTCTGGAAAGACTTCTTGTTTTACCTGAAGAGGAGACACAAGGTTGGAGCTGAGGGTGCTGGTGTGGATGCTCACAGTCTGACAAAATTCCTTTATCAAATTTGTTGCATGACATCAAGTGCCTATCAGTGAAAATGTCAGCGATATGGCCCAATGGGATACCACCACTCGGCCTACTGACAGTCATCAGAGTTCTACGAAGTATGACATAGTCTGTTTTAAGCAATCCAGGAAAGAATAAGCAAGGGTGAATAATAATAATAATTTCGCTTTTATTCCAGAAACAGTACTTGTCGTACAGTGTGGAATTTTTAGCACATATCTACAATATTGCATCTAATTTCATCGTACATTTAAAAGGAGTAATACAAAAAATAAGTATAAAAAACCAAAAAGAAACACAAAAGTAACAAAAAATGCAAATAAAAATACCAAGTAGAAATGAAGATAAACACCAATAATAATAATGAAAAAATATTTCAGTATTGGGTAGTGGAAGCTCTGATATGTGTATGCGTGGTGAACAGTAACAGCTATAATCATACAAGAAATTATGAGATGTTCTTAAGAATGTTTATAGCCATGATGATCAGTTAACTTGATTGAAACTACACTAAACAATCATAAAATAAGCATTTCAGGTTTTTTTGTATTGTCAGCACTAATGCAGTGTTTGTTGTGGTAGTGTGAGTAATCCTGCATAGTACAAAATTTTAAGATGGTGATAGTGGCGTTCACAAACAAGATTGTCAGTTTAATAGTGCCGAACAAAGAACAACCAAAAAACTAATATTACATGATGGTTAATGACAGGATAATTTTGTAATACTCATAGTGCTAATATAGTTGGAACCATTAGATACACAAAAGAAGGAATAGAATAAAGAATAAAAAAGTAAGCCAATGATAATAATTTAGGTAGCTAAGTATGTTTAAGAAGGTTGTTCACTATAGAGTACAAATAAGAGAGTATTAGGGAGAAATAAAAGGGCCAAAATTACGTTATTAACAACAAAGTAAATCATAAGTTTGACGCTTAACATTGTCTCTGTCACTTAGAACACGGGCTGGCCAAATATGGTATCGATGAGTTCTTATACTTGGTTGTACGAGCATATATTATTTTGTACTGATTTCTGGTTCTACCTGATGAGAATAGGTAATATGCACGAGTTGACAAACTATAAGAGGAAGAGACTGGGTTGAGTTATGCCTAAGTGCCTTAACTTCTTAATGTAAAAATTTATACGAAATATTCTTTTAGAAATCGCTAAGACATGGGAAGACCAGGATAGGCAGGTCAGTAGAAAGAATTAATCCAAGATACTTAACTTCAGACTTGATTTCTATATCCTCACTATCATCAATTTTGCAAGAGTCATAGGAACCAACGGCTTCATTTAACTTTCGTTTACATCGGATACTGAAATTAACAGTCTGACATTTGGAAGGATTTAGTTTAAGGCTATTGTAAGAAAACAGTTGAGAAGTTTTTTGTCGAAAGTAATGCTTTATATTGTGACTCATATTTGATAGGGTGCTGGAATTTCTAAGATGGATCACGAACTGATTTCAGTTAAGAGAATCATTGAAAACCGGGGATTACTGGACATCTGTTTCGTCCTTATTTGGGACTTTTCATCAGTACGCACCCTTAACCTATCCATCTTCAGGTTGACTATTTGGCTACTGGGACGAACTTTAGTGGCTAATCCATAAATTCTAATTTCTGGTATACAGAGCTACCGCTAACTATGATGTCATCAGTGTATACGTCTTCACACCCGACATGGTGAACTCCACAGGTCACCAACTTCCTGCTAAAATTCCATGCAGCGTCATCACTGACACGAGCACTTTATAATGTGAAGACTGCTGGTTTGGAAGCCTATCATAATTCTTTCCTAAGTCAGTTTCAGGATTAGAGTTAGTCAAGTAGACGTTGAAGTTCTCGTTTTTCCAATTAGGATATGACTGACCGGCTGATTTCAACATAGAACTTTGCACCGATGTGCAGCAGTTCAAGTTGCCATAATTCACTCAGCACACAAAGCAAGTGAAGAAAGTAAAAAGAAATGCAAAATAGAGACAGTAGACAGGGATATGAGACAAAAGGAATAATAATAATAACGAAGAACAATATAGTTTCATTGGAAATTATAAGTCACAGGGAGTGGATGCATCTGCGCCATCACTGAGAACGATTTTGAGCCATATCAGCAATAGTCTCCAGCCGCCATTGGTTCTTAACATCCTGAGGATTCCGATCAGGAAGTGTATACCATGCTACGTGGTTTAAAGTAACTATTGACTAGTGAAGCCGTGTTTTGGTTTGATCACCACGTGCTAGCTGTTCTCCAACCTGATCCATCCTATGACAGTCAGCTAACATCGCCCGTCGAGAAGGGCGACGGCTAGGCATGCGTGACACGTGTGTCCTAACCATCTCTCTCAATCGACTCACCTGCTTCACAACCTCATCTATTGGTATTCCCTCCAACTCATCTAACACTCGACCGAGGCCTAACCATAATATTGCTCACCTTATTATACCACCACCTAACACATATGGGAGATCGAACGCAGACATCTATGATCAACGACAGCCAGCTAGCCCCTAAGGGGGACGGAGCTGGGCAGTAAACACGTCCCTTCGTCGACAGCCAGTCAGCCGGATATCACGTCTACTAAGCCAGAGACGGAGGAAGTTGGTATATGCCAAACGAGCCTTCTGTATCCGTACTGAGATTTTGTCAGCAATAAGATCAACCCCCTGACGTTGGGTGATGCAAATTCCCTCTAAAGTAAAGTGGTCAACACGATCCAACAACCAATTCACTCCAGCCTACCTTTAAGCTTGGAGTGGGTCAGTGTAGTCCAGTCCTGTAGCCGCATCTTACATTTGACAGAAGGAGCGAATCACATGCTAAACATTCGAAGATTGATCTCTTTTAAAGGTGTCCAGTGTCTGTAAGTATGGTATGTACTTTGCACCGTCTAAGTGCAAAGTACTGTTACAAGATTGGCAGGAACCTGTATCTGCACCCACCCTTGTTTATAAGTTTGTGTATCTGGGTTGTTGTGTGAGTGCTGGTGGAGGGGTGACGGATGAGATTTCCAACCGGATAATGAAGGCTTGAGTGGCATACATCAACTTCAGCCACATCTGGCGCCGTCAAGACGTTAGCCTGACTGTGAAAGGTCGGGTATACAATGCTTCGGTGCGGGCTGTCTTGCTCTACCCCTTTGAAACCTGGCCTCTCCGAGTAAGCTGAGGATGTGCGGTGACTCTGCGTGTTTGATCACCTCTGTCTCCGTAGGATTGCTTGCGTTTGATGGCATCATCGCGTGAGTAATTCTGAGGTTCGGCGGCCGGCGTGTGTTTGAACACAGTGATCACCATTCATTGAGTGTCGTCATCTGGAAACAGCGGCTCCGGCGGATTGGACATGTGCTGCGAATGTCATTCCAGAGGCTTCCGTACAGGTCTCTGTTCGCTAGCTCTGGGACGGGGTGGAAAAGGCGGAGGAGTGGTCAGTCCATGACGTGGCGTCGTGGAATGAAGGATTTTTGAGCTAGATTAGCATCAGTTGGTGTGTCACGACTTCCTGGTTGGGGTCCGCGAGATAGCTCGAAAAGTTATCGGATATAGCCAAGAATCGTAATCAATGGTGAACGTGTTGCGATTCCCTTCCCTATGGTAGTTAACGAATACTGTTTGAACTGGTTAAGTATGACTGTTTCCCTTGGGGATGAAGTTCTTTATCAGTTCTCTACTTATATTTTTTTTACTTTTAACCAATGTTGTTTTATTATTATTGTGTGGCGCATCTTTCTTGGTGCCATATTGTACCGAGTTTTTTCTGCGTTTAAATAATAAAATAAAAATGTCCAGAAGACTATGCTCTATTTCGTCAGTGTCTTCACCTAGAAGAAGGACTTGGTCAATTCAATGGTTGATACCAGCCAGAGAGAGAGAGAGAGTCATGTTTCGCTACAAATCCTGGTCTACTGAAATTAAATTCTTCTGGAATTAGCCCATAAAGTCCACAGCCTTCTCATGTTTGATGTCGCTTAACGGCTTTCTTAAACTATGAAAACTTTAGATGCTTTTATGCCATTATCATTATCAGAGTGAATTTGCAGAGTGGTTGAAAACTAAACAGACCTTCCTTGTTGATACAGTTGCCTTTCCTCCTGCAGATGAGCTATTATTACCACGCTTCTCTTTCACGGTTTAGCAAAGCTATAATTTTCTAAAGAATCAATCCACTTGATCGATGTGAACAGTTATTACAATCTCTGCTCCACTCTTCAA